CCAGCCACCGGAGGCGTGAAGAAACCACATCGTTATCGTCCAGGAACCGTCGCTCTTCGTGAAATCCGTCGTTACCAGAAATCGACTGAATTGTTGATCCGCAAATTGCCATTCCAACGGTTAGTTCGTGAAATCGCTCAAGATTTCAAAACCGATTTGCGTTTCCAGAGCTCAGCTGTTCTCGCTTTGCAAGAAGCCAGCGAAGCCTACTTGGTCGGTTTGTTCGAGGACACAAACTTGTGCGCCATCCACGCTAAACGTGTCACAATCATGCCAAAAGACATCCAATTGGCCCGTCGTATCCGTGGTGAACGTGCTTAAATTCAACTTCAAACCATTTGTTATAAAAATCGGCCCTTTTCAGGGCCACCAAAAAATATCATATAAAGAATTTTTTAAATCGACTTTGCCATTCTCAAAATGAATATTGATAAAAATGGATGATATATTTTTGTTTTGCAACAAACTATAATAATATCATCCATAACAAATAACAAAATCAAGTGAAATAAACGGGAGTATCAATTGCATTTCAAAGTATTTCTCGATAACGATTAAAATATTTAATTTGTTTTCTGTGTTCTTTTCTTCAGTTCTGAGTGCATATTTTCTTATAATCTCATTTATTCTGGGGAAACATCAGTTATTTGATTAATCTTAGTGATGACACCGGTACTGCCATCCAATGCAAATAAATGCCACCATCTCCCAGTACCTGATGCGGGCACATCAAATTGTGTTACATTAACACCACCATTTTCATTTCTCTGGGAAATAGTCACTTTTGCATAAGACGTAGTGATTGCAGGATTTCCGCTATAGTTATAAACCGCATAACGATAACGACCGGAGTTTTGCTTTTTGATGGTGATCGTTTCAGGACCAAATCCTTCTCTATAATCAATATCCAGAATGGCACTGCCATCAGACGCATTTTTTGAACTAAAGAACACGTGGAATCGACTACCTGTTTTTGTATTACCCCAAAGATGAGAATCTAAATCTCTAGGGGAAGCACCCCATGTTAATACAATGCGTGCATAGTCATCGTTCAGATTGGGTGATAGAATGATTTTCTTCAATTGATTTTCAACATCATTAATTTGAGTCTCATAATCAATAAAACCTTGCGCTTTTGCTTTAAGAATATAAGGTCTCTTAATCATATTAAGGATAGTGAATTGTCCATTGTTATCACTATGCACCTCACACCTAGGTTTACAATCACAATCCAGGGTATAAAGTAAGATTTCTGCATTCGGGATAACTTTATCGTTCACCGCATTATGTACGCTCCCATTTAAATCGGATTCTTCATCATTTTTTAAGCAGCCGCTGAATATCATTTCACCAGGTGGAAAACCTGCAAGCGAATTTTGGTTAACGTATTATTAATTCAGATTTTATCAAGGTAAATTCGGAGCCATTAAAAGATAGAAACTCCGAAAATTTTGCTTTTAATTCAAATAATTCAATATAAAAAAGAAACTACTTTCCCGAAATACGTTCACGTTCAATGCTTGAATCGATGTATCCATTGCATTGCGTAAATCCAAAAAGAACCGTCGAAATCAAACAAATGGCAAAAATACTAAAACGAGCCATGTTAAACCATTGAGTTATCTCGAACTTAATTCTTCTTCAAATGATTTCAACTATGCTTCTGTTCAAAAATATATGAATTTTTAAAGTGCAATATAAGATTCTTATCGAATTATCGCAAAATTGATAAAAAAAATTCTTGTAAAATTATTTTTATCTGTTTGAAAACTATTCATTTAAAACAATGATTTCTTATCGTGAAACATTGCAGTTGATTTGTTATTAATAATAAATTATTTTTGTTGCCATTGGAATGACTCGCATTCACCAGAGTATTATATTTAATTAGCAAATGCGCTAGAAAATTCCTTTTTTATCATTACAATATACAATTTTTTCGCCACGAGAATCTATTATCCAAAGAAAATTATGAAACTACTTTAAATAGTCAATATAAATTTTTTTGAGATGTGAAAATATAATACTGTGTTCATGCATTTTAATTCATCTGAATAAATAAAACTATAAAAAGATTTAAATTTTTCGAATCGATTTCATTTTTATTTGGTAACAATTTCGAGCATTTGCAAGTAAGGCACGACCTAACTTAACTTGATGGGAAATGAGAAGTGGGTGTTTTTCTAATAACAATTTCAATGCACTTTTGTAGTTTTGCTGCATATTCGCACTTATCGTGATGACGAATCGATCCACATTGTGTTCGGAATTTTTCGGCAATTTTTTTATTATTCACCGTGAACTCCAATCCTTCGACATTGAAAGTTCCATTGAAAATCTGCAAAAAAACAATTCGTAATTAAAATTCGCAGAGAAATCAATAGACAAAATGTCTTACCACTTTCTGTGCAGACATAATACATTGTAAGTAACATTTGTCATCTCTGGTTAGAACGTTCAAGTCAAAATCCGGAAGTGTTCGAGATTCACTTTTTGGAAATTGTTTTTGGCACATTCGAATTTGTCTAACCAATATTTCGTTGGCCTTTAGATAAAATTAGACTCATTAGATATTTACCGTCAATTTTTCACAACTTAAAACTCAATCTTACCGAAACACTGGCAAACAAAACACCCATAACAAACACTAACAACGTAATTGAATTCATTTTTCAAAAAATACGATTGAATTTCTTGGAGAGTGGTGTAAAACCTTTGAGCGCACTGAGAAGACTGATGACAATTTCAGTATAAGCACGGAATATATATACCAAGTAGTGTTAAATCCCAGTGATAACCGGTAAAAATTACTGAATTTTACAAAACAATTTACGAACAAGATTAGATTGGTTGAAATTCATTCATTTTATTACGCATCACACGAGAGAGTGAAAACTTGCAAAATAAAATTTCAGCTTAAAAGGGGTTTTGTTAAAATAAATCCAGACAATAGTAAGTAGAGAAATCACATATGCGTGAATCTTATTATATCATACTGGATTGGATCATAGATAATTTAATTGAATCGTTCTGTATAGAAACGTAAAGTCAGTTTTTACTGCCTTCGATGTCGGCTCTTGTGTTCTAAATAAATCGCTTAACGTAAAGGAATCTATTGAATTATGTGAACAATTTTGGTTTTCCCCGTCATTAACTGATACTGGTGAGATGAAACGATATTTTTCTTTTGCAAGATCATCGGTCATATGATAAGCTTCCGGTGTTTTGCGTAAATTTTAAGTGGCGACCGCATGAATCATTCAAATATCTAATGCGATTCAGTATTTGTCAACTGAACTAGATGAATGCTTCCAGTGTCATTATGCTATTTGGAATAGAAGCGACTTTTGAGTTTGAGATGAAGCTATAACAGTAACTGAAAAAACATGAAAATATACTTCATGATGATTTTAAGCCAGATTCTGTGTTTGCGTGTGATTTTTTTCCTCTAAAAATGTCTTTTGTTGAAGAAAACAAAAGTTTAAATTTTATTAATTTTTTTTAAACAAATTACATTGTAAAGCATTATTTTTAATTCTGTGGATGTTGTAAGTGGTTTGATTGTGAGTGCTGTGTACCGGACATTGTTAAATTTTCCAAATTGATATTAATTATTGGTTTTTCCAGATCGACCAAAGGCATTGATTTCTCCATTGAATCGTGCAAAACGAATGTTTGACGAAGGTCCAAGTCTTCGTTTGGTTCACCCAATAGTACATTAGATTCGCCCATAGTTTTATCATCCAATATAATTGATTGATCCATATTAAGAATGCAATCACCCTTAAAACTGTCAATATTATTGAACTGATCAACGCCAAGAAATTTCATTTCATCATACGGCGATGAGGCGTCAAGATTCAAGCAATTATTGATATCGATGACATTGGCTGTGCCCAGTAAATTCGATCGCACGTATTGATTTTGGTTCATGATTTGCATTGATGTCAATGGCGATGTCATAGTCAGATCATGATGATGTGAATGAAGTGACATCGTTGATGTTGGTGTGTTTTCATTATAATTTGTCCATTCAACGCTAATATTATTGCGATCATCTCCGTCAATGTTCATGCTTAAGAATAAGTTCGGCGACAGTCGTTCCGGTGACAAATTTCCAAGCGTAATTTTTGATTCGGGATCCAATGTATGCATCAAACCATTTGAATCGTTTAATATTTGATTTGCAGTCAATTCATCCGAATGATGATGGTATACATTTTTCGATTGTTCAGTCATTTTTGCATGCTCCGTTACTGGCAAGTTTTCTGTCAAAAAAAATTGACAAAAAGAAAATTAAGCGAAAAAAATACTTCTTTCGTTTGTGTTTTAAGAGGAAAAAAATGCCAACCCAATTCGGTGACTCGTTGGTCTGGATTCACGGAAGATTCATAGTTCATGTCTGTCTTCATGTCATCGCCATCTTTGATGAAGACCTTTTCTTGCTTTCTCCACTTGGCTCTGCGATTTTGGAACCATACTTGAACTCTTGCCTCGGTCAATTCAATGCGCAATGCCAACTCTTCACGAAAAAATACGTCTGGATATTGAGTGCGGTGAAAAGCTTTTTCTAATTCTTGCAACTGCATTGAATTGAATGTGGTCCTATATGCGGAGAGAAAGAGAAACAGAATGGATGATTTAATAATCTGCGATTTGATCCACCAGACTTATATATTTCCGCAATCACCTATATCGTCTTTGTTTCCGTTTCATTGTTTTTTTTAGCGTTTGCGTGAGTGTGATCAAATCGGTCGAATGATAGAAATAGGGCCCAATATATTCAATACCACATACACACGTGTAAATGTCTACTTCTTTTTATTTATTATTATTGTGATGATGTGTAATGTAGTCTATTTGAAACTGAAACTGATATGGTTTCTTTTACCACTGAACTATTTATCCATATTTATGTACAACACTAATAACGAACCAACACAACAACAAGTAGTGAAAACCGAAAAGTATGTAGATTAGTTGGTGTCAATTGAACAGTGGAGATTTTCTGTTTTGTTTTCTTGGTTTTATTTTTTGCTCCTCTCGCTTTACGGTGGTGGTATTTGTTTTTCTAAAGCTTCGTTCAATTGAACAACGACATTTTCTGCCAGGTAACTTTTCCACTTGATTTTCATTCAGTCGGTTTCAATTTTATTGATTTGATCCTGAATTTCTCCGGTCAAACTAAAGACGTTTTCTTCAGATATTCATGTTTAATTCAATGCGACTTTCAATTATTACTTGGTAAATGTATAAGAAAGCCAGTCGTAGCCGTCTTTTGAGATAATAGCACATAAGATAACAATGATATATGCACCAAATGCTACGCTGCTTATAAATGCGAACAATTTCATCGGCAAGAATATCAGTTTTTTAATCAAAAACGGTGTCCAACGCAAGAATGAATGGCACATTTTGTACAATTAAACATTTCAATGGTTTTTTTGGTTAAAATTGATCTACTTTTTCACAACAACAACAAATACGATTGTTGGAGACTTTTTTTTTTGATGTTTATTGTTCAGCGTGGAAATGTCGACTAAATGACCAATGCGAATTGTTTTGAAGAGCTTATTTTCTTGGTGATGGAAAAAACGTCGGGAAAACTTAGGAATGCAAATGATTCCCACATATTTACCTGACTAATTCTATGTTGTACTTCTACGTGTGTGTAGAGTATACATTTTGTCTATGTCACGAGGATTTATATACGTACAAATATCGACTGATGAAGCGCGGCATCAATGGTCATAGACGTGGCGTTTTATAAAAAAACCCACAACGGCTTTAAGTCATTTGAAGATTCATATTTGCCTTTTAGAATGAATTTTTCGTTTCAAGCTTTTAAGATAGTATAAATATTTATTTTTTCGAAACTTTCGAACGAATAAGAAAATGTGCTGATGAAATGAACAAAAAAAAAAGTTGTTTTCTTTCAGCAAAAATCTGAGAAATATTGAATATCCACCCACGGATTCTAATGAAAACATCATATTCAATTGTTTATTTTTTTTTTCTGGTCTGAAATGATGGGGCGCCAAACATATTATTTTTCCTCATTCGATGACGTGTTATTTATATAACATTAACTTGAATGAACACCACAAATGTGCAAGCAATTGACTGCAATTCATTAGTTTTTAACGGGAAACCAAGCGTTTCATTTGTTGGCTCTCAACCGATCCGAAGAAAAACAAAATGATTGAAGCTTCAATGATGTTTCACAATCATTGTTCATCCCAGAACTAGATTGAAATCAGAGACCAAAACGGCGGAAATTATTCAACCCCGGCTGCAGAATGCATTTCATACACATATAAGCTGTCGTCGTCACTGATATCGCACAATTGTTTCCAATGGTAACCATAAAATACAGACAAATTTTATTTCATTCAGTACATTTCAACATGAGCAATGAATAAAAATCTCAATGAATCTATGACAAAAATAATTTTCTTCTGCTGTGATTTTATTTTGGTTCAGTTTCTGCAAATACGAAATATGATCCATAGCGTTACGACCATTGTTATCACAATAAATATAACATTATTTCAACACAGTTCATGTTTGATCTTCTTTTCGTCGATGAATCGTCATGGAAACGGTGTGCATTGTTTTCAAAAACAAAAGATTCTAATGGAATGTCAATCAATTCTGGCATCATTTTAGCCACCAAATGAAATGTTATCAATGCAAGCGATTCATATAAAAGTAAGCCGCCCTACTTGCTCTGATCTTAGTCTGAAAATATGAACGTTTGGGTAAGTACGCATTACACAGATTTCCTTTCTTTTTTGAAAGACATTTGAGTGTACAATTTTACAAAAAGAAAATTACAGCAAAAATCATTTAAATTTCATATTACTCGAAGTGACAGTAGTAAATGCTTGTATTTTTAACAGACCCTTTGGATTATCACCGTATTAATTGCGTTGGGTTTGACGAAGGCCAAAGATGATATTTGGCAAGGGAAGATCCCGATTAAATTCTTGAAAGCGGTCATGGAGCAACCAACATTGTGTGAATCTGGTTATTCTGATTATGAAAGTTGTGAAAATGCCATGATGATAAATAGTGCTAAAAGGTGTGACAATTTGAAACAAGAAAATGTTGCTATTATTATTTGTAAGCAATTGCTGAGCTCGAATATGTCATGACTGATTGTTTTTTTGGCCTACAAATATTTTTCATTCAATCCTATTTTTATCAAGACATATAAATTTATAAATTTCTTTATTTTATCGTATCATAATAAGCCGAAGCGCAAACGATGCATACGAATATAACAGTGACGAAGTCAACATAGAGAAAATAATTGAGGATCTAGCACCGTCTGAGGAAAAGCGAAGTAATTCTCGAGCCGGTTGTGATTGTCAATTGTCGGTGAGTGTTCAAACAAAATGCAATCTTTTTTTCGAATCGCATATAAGCGAAGGGTTAAAGATTGATTATTTTTATTTGTATTACAGAGTGAAATGATCGATTTAGGTCCTTCATCATTCCCGAGACTTATACGCAACGTAACTTGTGATAGAACGCATAAGCGTTGCTATCATTCCAGAGGCAAAGAGCTCCGTTGTTTGCCGATTCCTTATAAGGTTCGATATTTTCAATTAATGTAATTTTTTCCCCAATTTTCTTGTCATTTTTGATTTAATCTGTTATCGCCTACATAGGTCAGTGTAATAAAGATGCGTGACTATCGAATAGATCCAAGAAAAGCGTACGATGAGATTGTCCTACCACAAGATCTTCGTTGCTGTTGGAAAGCCGATTATATTCCAACGATTGTTGGGTGTGTTTGTGGGCCAGATTATTGATACCCATACCTATCCGCCAAATACGAATCGATGTTCAAATGAAATCCACTGCGAATTGAGTTCAAATAAAAAAAAACCACGACAATTTAAATTTCTGCATGTTTTAAAAGATTTTCTTTTATTGTTTCTGTGTCAAAACAATTTGTATTTATAAAAAAAATATAGAATTCTGAATACAAAGTAACAAAAACTTTGAGAAAAAAAAATCGATGATTTCATTTCACATTTTTGGAGGTTTGAACATTAATTTAGACTCGGTGTCCTTGGTATCGCTTGCAATGATGAATGTTTCAGGTGGTGCGCTTTCAGTTTCTTTGGTCTTGCTGGTATTTTAAAAGTTAATGACATATCTAATTCGTCTGAATCAAAATCATTTTCAGACAGCGACAACGATCCACCAGTTCGGTCAACACGTATTGGTTCCTCTAAGACCTAAAAAATGCAGAATTTTTTAGATTTACATTACTTTGAAAAAAAAAAAAAAAAAAAAAAAAAACATTTTATACGCACCAAATTTGATGGCTCTGATATGTAACCATCGAATTCTTCATCGGATGATGATGTTGATATCTGCTCAACTCGTACACGTTCAGGTACTTTGCAAACGATTTGTGCCAAATCGATGAATGAATATCTATGGATAAAGCGAGATTATCAAATTAATTTGCAAATGATTTTGAATAGAAAGAATGTCAATACTCACTCATTAAGTGAATTCGGAAGTTTCTTTGGTAATTCTTTGCTGAACCACTTATTAAAGCGGCCCAGACGTCCTGATTTTTCCATGGCATCAAAACAATTGCGACCATGAATATATCCAACATCTTTTATTTCGTCGAAGCTCCCAAATGCCAGTGTTTTATATCGATCAATTGGTGGTCGAATGTATTCACAGTAATCGCTATTTTTCACCTCCTATGAAATTCGATACAAAAATCAATAATTTATTTATATTTCCATTTGTTTTCGTCTTGGTAATGAATCGACTCACCTCAAGCTGTCGTACGCATGAAACGTATGCCAAACGAGATTGAATGTCAGGTAAATTTGGCACTTTGACCGGCGTTGAAAATGGATTCCATTTTTTATAAAGAAGCCACCACCCGCTAAGACTGTCCCCTGAAAATGAAAAATGAAGATGGTCAGCTGTTGGTTGTTGATATGGAATGTTTGCGATGGTTACCATAGTCGCTCAAATCGGTATCATCCTGTGATCCAACATCGATGGCTATTATATGCGCTGCACCCAACTTCAGCATTACATCGGCTGTTTGAGACAAAAACATTAAATTAAATTACTTTCGTTCATACAAAAAAAAATATTACCGTTTTAATATTATTTAAAATTACACAAAACCAAAGAAGAAAGTACATATAGGAGGAAAGTACATACACCGAACAAGAGAAACAACAGTTAAATTTGTATAAAATACAGATAAAAATACAGACTAATTTTGTACAAGAAAATGTTCAACCCAACAATTTGCAAAATAGTTTGAGATAGTCTTGTGGTCTCGTATGAGTCTTATGGTTAACCTAAATTACCTCACCCATTTGGTTTACTCAATCGAAATGTTAAAAAAGAAACTGTTCTCTTTCACATTTCTTGTCCAGTTCTAAAAATACTTCAATACCTGGGCAGTTGTTAACGTAGCAACCATCAATCAGCAAATGACCATCTTTGGGATCACAAAGTGGTGGAAAAACGCCAGCAATGGACATACTGGCTCGAACATAACGCCAAAGATAGCCTAGGATTTTTTGCGTATCAAACAAATTGTTTGGTATTTGTAGTGAAAATCAATCAACAAAAAGGTAAAGGTAAGGTCGCATATTTTCGTTGTTCGATTTGAAATGATTTCTTCTAAAAGAGTTTTTCATATTCACGCGTGTTTTTTGTGCGGATTGTATGAATTTTTTTTTTGAGACAACACAATTTCTCAATGCTACATAGAAACTAAAATAAGTAGAAGAAGAAGAGAAAAATGTCTACTAATACGTAACATGTGCACATGGAATACGATTTTTTTGGGGCATGTGAGAAAAATAAAACATACATTTAGCCAATATTACTGTGGTTGACCGATGATGAAATATTACAAAAATCGATAAATAAATGGCATTTTTACAAATGAAAAAAAAAAAATTAAATGAAATTGATCGAAATTCGACTCACACAGAAAATCAATTTTAAATTTCATTCATTGAAAATCAATTTGCATTCCGTCGTCCATTTTTTGAAAAAAATTTAAATTTTGAAACCAAACACCAACAAATTATTTTCATTAATCACACCAAAAAAACTTATAGTCACGAGATTTTGTTCAATCATTAAAAAAAATTAGTTAAATGTTAGTTGTCTTCTACAGAAAAATAAGTTCTCTCTTGTTTTCGTTCAATTTGAGTGTTAGTGTTGCTTATTCAAAATGTGAAGAAGAGACTGATGCAAAAACAATGAGTTGATTACCCATCGATTTGGTGCGATGCATTAGTTTCCCGTTCACATTTTCCTTAACATAGTTTTACCATTTTAATTCAGTTATGCTTATTGTTTAGTTTATACTGACCGGGTAGGTTGTTAACATATCCTCCGTCAAGTAGCAAATGACCATCTTTGGGATCACAAAGTGGTGGCATATAACCGCTGAGGCTCATTGAGGCTCTTACATAGCGCCAGAGAGATCCTTCAAAGGTTTAATTTTCGTTCAATTTTATTCATTTGACCAATTTTCAATTGTTTTATTCATTGGAATTATAGAATTATTATCAAGAGAATTTTTCATGTGATGAGAGTGTGAAATGAATACTTTGTAGATTTTGTCCCATCCAATGAATGTTTAAATCGAGCGAAAATAATATGTACTATGAATTGTGCGCAAATAGTAATGATTTTCAGGTAGAATGTGAACATGATGAGACAAAATCAATAAAAATGCACTTCAGCTAAATCGATTTGGTGGCAAATTAATGATCATTGTGTAAAAATTAGTAAAGCAAAAGTGAATGTGTGTAGTGAATATAAGTGGAAGCGATCAAAATGCATGAAAGTGACTTTTAGAAGCAATCATTTCATTTGTATCGAAATCATTCGAAAAAGAGCTAAAATGTGCATGAAAACCAAAAAAACGGAAAAAGACATGTATTTTATACCATTTGTGTGTATGCGACTGCAACTGGCCGAAATATCTGTGGTCAATGTGAAATATGGGATCCACAAATCTTCAATGTAAACATCACCAAATGTATCGACGATTGTTTCGTTAAAACCTTTTCCAGTGAACATTGAGGTTATGGGATATGTTAAATCCAGTAGTTGACGATGCCATTGTGTCATTTTCTGCAAGATGAAATTTATTAAATGGTCAGTATGTACAAAAATTCAAATCGATTTTACCTTGGACCATTCTCTGGCTTTCTGTGTTAAAGTCGTTGTGTTTCGCTCACAGCAGTATAGCGCTCCCATAAATGCTCCAATACTGACACCGCCAACCATATCAACTGGAATTCCTGCATCTTGTATGGCTTTTATCATCCCGACATGCGCAGCTCCCCGAGCACCGCCGCCACCCAACACCAAACCAATCGAATTACCAGTCAACCAACGAGCAAATCGCGAGAAATCTGAATGCATATTCGGTTCACCGAGCAGCACTTTTGCGTAGAATTCGTTCTGAAAACATGTAAAACGCGCAATTAGTTTTCAACTCAAGCAAAGATGCCGAACAAAATGTGCTTACAATTCTATACTGGCTTTTGCGTGTGAACATTCGATTCAGACATTGAATGTGATGATGTTTTGTGACCCATGGTCGTACGTTGAGCCATTGTAATGTATTCACCGGCCGTTTAATTGATTCACGATGCAATAAAACTAATTCTTTTTGTGTTCTTGGCGCCCATTTGTCGACTTCTTTTTCAAATTTACCAACGGTTGGCGTTCGATCGCCAAGTCCGACTAAAATAATAACATCAGCCTGTCGCAAACAACGTTGCGTCCATTCGTTTAATGCATAATCGTTTTGGTACAGTGTCAGAGTATTTCGATCCTCTTGTTGTGCCAGCCAACTCGTTAAACGATATTCGTAGTGCGCTTCTAAAATTCCGGGTCCAAGCGCTTTGTGCACGTCGTCTGATGTGAGACGCAACGTTGGACCTATGGCACATAGTGAATGATAAATTTCATATGCAAATGCACTCAACGGCACATCGTCGCTAAGTGGCACCAATGCCACCGTTGAGAACTTATGCGTTATCGGATTTGCTTCTAATGGCGTTGATCCAGGTTTTGACTGCATTGAACCTGTTTGAAGGTTTTTTTTTATTTCAATTAAAGTTTTTTTTATCATATCGAATCGATACTAAAGTAAATAAAAAGTAAATCTCGATTAGCTTACCCAAAATTCTGTGGCTTAGCAAACTAATTAATTTCGTAACCACAGCTGGATACTTGAATTTGATAATATTGAAAAGGCCTTCGGGTAAACGTGCCAATTCGGAGTCTCGGACAGCCATTACAGTTGTTGTTCGACTTGTTTCTGTTATCATTTCCACAATACCAACCATATCACCTTTACCGTATTCACCGACGATTTCTTTTTTACCATTTGTTTGTGTTACAACCGATCGCAAACGGCCACTAAGTACGATATATGTTGAATCACTGTTTTCGTCTTGCCGATAAACCGCACGGCCCGATTCCATAAATATCCAATCGAGCGCATAATCACATTGTCTAACCAACGGGGATAGTTTACGTACAACGGTATTTGCGATATACACAACCGTCCAAGGCCGTTCACGCATCAAACTGTTTGAACAAAAAAAAAGAAGCACCAATGAGAACCATAAATGAATGAACTTTGCATGCGCAAAGAGGTAAATGAAACATACTTGTAAACAGAAGTTCTACTTAAAATGGCAACTTTGGTATGGTGTCTAGCACGAACGGTGTACTGACACGTTTCAGCCGTTAACACCGATAACCCACCGATCATATCTCCAGCATATGAATTGTATGAATGTACCTACAATGAATTGTTATCATTTAATTTTTGCACTTTGTAAAAGAAGCGGACTTTGTTCGAGGGTTTGAAGTACAGAACTTTGAACATTGCCTTACCTCCTTGCTAGCATTTTTACTGCCAGGGAAACCGATGTGCTCTTGCAAAACAGATACACTGCCGCTCAAAACCAACAGAAGACAAACGTCCTGCAAATCAGTACAAAGATTGAAATTTTTTTGAAATCATAAACATTCAAGGTCATTAAAGTCACTTACATCTTGACAATTTTCTCGGAGTAATGTGATTCCCGGTTCGGCGTCACGATATTCAATGTGACTTTCGAGTAAATGACGATCACTATCTTTTAAGCCTAATTCTTTTATGAAACCATCTACAGCCATTTGAAGCACCGTATGTGCTTCCATCTCACGATCAAAGGCTATCGAAAATCGTCGGCTATGCTTTTGATGTGGTACCTAAATTGATTTACGACAATTTCAATTGCTAAAAGTGGAATTTTAAAAGGGAAACGCACCTCTGATAAATCGTTCAACATATCCGGTCGAACAAAGTCATTGGGCTCCACGGAGAGTGTATGTGCGTATGAATTAATATCGAATGACTGCCGCGGTTTGTAATGTGTGGGTGAATTCTTTAAATTTTGTTGATTTTGTTGCTGCTGCTGCGATGACGGCGGCGGCGGCGGCTGCTGTTGTTGTTGTGGGCGTTTATCTTTGTGGGGTTTGTGTTGCACCAGTTCTGAATATAGGCCTAAGTAGTTGCGCAACGCAGTAAAAATGACTCGTTGCAAACGAATCATTATAATTTGTATAACCCGAACTAAAATATCTGGATTTTCATCGAAAACTTCTTTCAATGCTTTCATCGGCAATCGAATCACTTGAGATGGTTCGAGTGCTTTTGCAGTCACCGATTTATATACACTTTCATTGCCCTGTTGCATCAAATCGAAATCTTAGATTAGAATACTTTTGAAAATGATCATTTTTAATATTTCTTACCGCAAGAACATCGATGAAACTAAGCAGAGATGTAACCGATTCACCACGTTTTACATGTTTTAATGATAATGTCGTTCCATCCGAATTGTTTATTAAAACATTCAATTTTCCCGATTGAATTATAAATACACTGTCATCAATATCACCTGAAATATAAACGCATTCACATCAATAAACATTTTACCACTTTTATCCACAAAATTTAAAGCAAAATTTGAGCATAACGAGGTAGTCAGTGGTCAAATTCTAGAATTTTATAATGATTATATATTTCTACCAATGTGTTATCAACTCATTAAAATACTAACTAACAAGCTCTCATCCACCTTTTTCATTTTAATATATTTTTTTTTTTTTGAAATGAACCTAAAAATAACTTGAATGTTTACTTACCAATTTTAAATAGTAAATCGTTTGTGTCGAGGGTGATAATTTCGGTGAATTTGCACAATTTCAAAAAGATTGGCTTTTCAAAGTGTCCAAAAATCCGAATACCTTGTAACATGCAAAATGCGTCCGGTGGCACTTTGTCGCTGCCATCGACCATTTCTTCCAAATATTCATTTGGCGGTTCAACTGTTTTCAACAACATGGGTAAATTATCGTCGCGCTTAATATTCAAAATACGTTTAGCAAAGCGAACAACCGCTCGTCGTTTGCGCCCTTGTCCATTGTATGCTTGACCCGACAGTGTTTTTACTTTGCGCAACATGCGTCGCCCATAAAAAAGCATTTTGTCACGCTTACGAAAGCGTAAACGATTGTTGTTAAATTGCATGTTATCAAATAAGTTTCGTTGGCGTTCTGTTGGAGAAAATCAAAATACATAGACAAAACATATTTATTTTGTTATGAAAATTACTAATCATTTCAAGTTGAAGAAAGACAAACGGTGTATGTGTAATTTTCAAAGTGCATTGAATCTTGATCAATCAAGCAATCAAAACTATTTAAATTAAATGTTATAATCAAATGTGTGTGTGGCTTGGAGACAAAGTGATCGATGTTTATAACTATTATTGAAGAAACTTCAACGTCGTTTATGAAATAGTCAAAGATCACGAGTCGCGGTTCATGTGAATTGATTGTTGTGAATAAACGCTTATGAAAAAAGACCAGCCAATTTAAATGTCTTATTAAGAAAGTCAGTTATAGCATTTTAAATGAAATGAGAGACGAATATCAAAACAGCGCCGCAGACGGGCACAGAGAGACTTGGTGAAAAAAAAATTCAGATGAGTTGCAAATTAGCATTTATTCACAGTACGGTTGCTAGATCCTTCCTGTCTCGTGACTTTTTTTCATTTGTCGGCTGTGTTTAGCAAGCCTTGTTTACAAAATTTGTAATATTTCTTTTTGTAAAATACACGTAGGCCCAAATAACACGTTTCCAAATGTTTTTGAAACTATATGCATGTAAACAAGTGATTATTCAAATTCAAAAAAGGCAATTCTCATTCAAAATATCGGGTATTTGAATTAAAGCTGTGTAATTATTTCTTAAACACAACAAGTCAAGTTAATGATTTGCGATTCAAAGAAATGAATTAGTTGATTAGAATATTTTGATTTTGTATTGCGCAGACGATAAAAAAAATAGGGTAGACCAAAATCAATTGCCAATACAGAGAGATCAAATCGTCAGGCGGTAAACATATGGCAGGCTCACAATATTTCGAAATATAAAAATAAGTCAAACCAGTTCTCTCACATTATAGATTGCGTAGTAAACGTGCTTTGCATTAAACAATGTCAAAGTCATTTCAGAGCGAGCCCCCTCAAATCTCTGCAGTAAATAACGGCAGAACGATGTGAAATTATCATATATTAATATGTGTTCGAATTTAGGTATGCATTAGTGTACCAATGTGACGACACATGGCTCAATTCAATCGTAAACGATTAACGAAATGTGTGTCGTTGTATTCGTCGTTGTTATCGTTATTGTTGTTGTCATTGTTAGCTTTTGCTTCAGTTGTTTGTTTACAAAGAAAAAAATAGTGTGTTGTTTTCACATGAAAAAATCTAGGAAGCATGTATATGCAACGCACACAATTGAAGCACAGCGATACAATTAAAAATCATTAGTGCGTCAGGAAATGAACAGCAAAGAAATCAATTATTTAACGCAAGCGAACAAAAGGAGCCATTCACATTCAATTGACAAACCATTGATTTGTCAATATTAGATTTTGATAAGTGTCCGCTATGTGGCAAGCCACACAATAAGAAAAACCGAGATAAGAAATCAACACGTTTACGTGAGAAAATCGAACTTTGAGCCAACATTTCATCAAGTGGTGATAAATTTCTCAATTGAAAACAGTGTGTCAATCAACAGATAAAGGCGAATATTGACTTACCTCTATTGAACCATCTTTGCCAAATAATAATCACAGTTGCAATCAGAACCACAACAATTGTCGCACCAAATGTCCAAAAGACCTTGAAATTGAAAAGGAACGAGCCATACAATTAGTTGTTTCGAATATTTTTCTAAAAAAAATTCGTGAATTATGTAAGCAATGGTACACGTTTCACGTCTAAATTTTATCTTTTTTTTTTGGTGTGCCAAACAACAACAGCATAAATATAAATTCTTAATCGGTTGGTAAACACATCACGGAAGAGTGTATTTGCGTTGAATCGTAAATAATGCGCACCATTCGATGATTACATTCATCGTTCGTTGAATTTTGTTGTAAACCATACTTACATTGTCCTTCAAACAATTTTCAACGATTGTGTACAGGCTCTGCAGGCTCTGCTCTTCAGGATTCGGCACTATCGCTGTGCTCATCGTTGTTTCTACTGCAGTTGTTTTATTTTCCTTACTATTTATAAAGTAATGCACTAATTTTTTTATGGAATCGAAAACCATATTTCTGTATTTTCATTTGTTTTCAAATGAACAACAACAACAACAAAAAAAAAAACAGTTTCGATTTCGAATCGATATAGTAATTATATATCAAAATTTTATTGTACTACATGCACTTTGGTCAAAAATCGATCTATTGTATGCATTTTTATCTTTGTACTTTAAATCTTAGTCACCGTGCTCACACATGTTCAAAAGAACGCAATTTTTCACAAATAATTTGTCACTAAAATCGGATAAAAATGTACATTATTTGAATTCATTTCATAAAATATGGCAATAGAAACGAAATTTCACGAGACACTCTTTTCTTTTGTTTTCTCTTGACTATTCGGAGCAAAAATACGCTTTCATTGTGTTTCACACTTTTGTTCTCTCTATTTTCCCTTTTATTTCTCGAGTAAACAAGTTATGTTGTTGTATGTTTTGGAGTTGTGTTTTTTTTTCTTCTCTGCAGTAAACGCGTTTTTGAGTGTAATAAAAAAAATTGTGCGAGTTTCAATATGTGTGTGCTCGGTCGCTGTCACGGCAGCATCGATTCTGAAATAATGTTCATTGTGTGGCCGTCTAGTGAGTTATTCGTTCTCTTTTGACATTATTGATCAGGGTGTGTGTATTTGTAAAGCAGAGTGCGTGTGTGTATGTGTGCTTTCGAGTGATGAATCAACCGTACGGCTTCAAATATCCGATACATCGGTGAATCAGCTGTGTGTACAATTGTGCTATGGTTTGTGTGGTACACAATTTGTACATGTGTACGTACTGAATTCTTATCAGCTGTCATTGGGTCACATTTGTGTGAAGTTGGCTTTTAAATAAACGAAACTGTATTATCGTAGTGTATTCATTTCTTATTTTAAACTTTGACGGAACCTCACATGAAAATTGCATTTTTTTATATTTTCATATATTTTTTTTCCAAAAATCATAACAATTTCCGATGGATTTCAATGCTTTTAAAATGTCTGTGTAACGAATACAACACATCTACAAAGTCCTCCATTTGAATTCCATGGCACGATGTGACGTTTTACGACTTTAAACATATGTGCGATGTGTAAATGTTCGATTTCGATTTGTGAGCAATTCGTACGCAGAAACGTCAATTGCGTATGATATATTCACAAAGTTCTCTAACACAACGTCATACCATTTTGCTGTCTTGCTTCATCCAACACAATATACAGATATAAACATACATCGACATTATATTGTGAATACAAAATTGTTTTCGTTTAATATATTGTGTGCTTCTCGCTCTCGTCATATGAGTGTTAAATGCAAATGTGTGCGTTTTTCATTGCATCGAAATGTCATTTTATCACAGTGTTATTTCGTCTTAGTTTAATGTTCGTGTATCTCAACAGCCAGTCCAAATTTACTATGGAGTGAACTAAATATTCTCGACCATTAATTTGTAATTTTTGTTTAAAAAAAATTCCTCCCCGTTGATTAAACAGAAGAAAATCGGTTGTTCGGTGCGGTGTATGAATCAATTGTTGTTGACAAAGCTTGAATAAATGGTGTATTTAATGAATATTAAATCTATGTGTGGTTCGATTGGGATCTAACACTTGTTTTTTTTTTGCTCCGATTCTGTGGCAACTGTGAAAGAAGCAAAAAAAGAAAGGAACAAAAAACCAGAGAGTAGTGACTGAGGCGTCCATTGGATTGGAGCTGTGGGGAAAATTGTAAAACAAGCCTTTATTCGGAAAGAAGCTCTAGGTTGTTTTTACATCAACTAAATCGATTCAAGCACAAATCAAAGGTTCGTTCAAAAAGTCAATATTTGCTTGGTTTTAAATGAGTATTTTTTTTTGGTTCGATTGAAGAAAAAAACAGCAGCATTCTCGACTCTCGTCGTTTCGTTCATGCAATTTATGGTGCGTCATGACATGAATTTTTTTGTTCGTTCTTGTTCAATTGAAGTTCGGGTTTATACAACAACAACAAAAATTGTATACATATTATTGTTGTTGTTCGTGTGAAGTGTTTGCATTGAATCATCAGCGAAATGATTATGTGTGCGGGGTAGAGAAAAAAAAATAGTTTTAATTGTTGAGCATTGCAAACATACAAAAATAATTCTGATGTAAGAATTTCGGCTGTTGATGAAAGCGAAACACAGTACACAACGGAAACAAAAAAAATCCGATTTTTATAGACCCTCGTCAATAACTAATTATTATGAAATATTTAGTGAAACATTACGAAGAGAGATGTAGAAGTGAAGCCACACAAATTATACTCAATTTTCATTGAATCGTTAGTCGATTGAACTTCTGCGGTTTTTTCGTTACTTTTTTCTCATGTTTGTTTCGTGTTCATTCACTTAGCAGACAAGTTTGTCTTTTGTTTCACGTATAATTTAACGACAACGAACTACATCATGAAGTGAGAAAAAAAGTCAAAGAGAGAAAGAGAGAGAGTTTACTTAGTAAATGAATGAGTGTCTCAATCTAGAGTCCAATTCGTTTCCTAGTTTTGAATAAAAAAACATACCTTTGACTTGAACATTAGCTCTTCATTTCTTCTAATGACTCACGAGTGGGTCTTCACCGCTTCTATATTTCTATCTTCCTATACCTCCCATTGCTCAGCTGAGAATGATAGAGAGCGAAAAACGCGAACAAAAATATACATACACACAGGCGGTAAAATGATAGACGCTGTGCCTCTGTCAATTGAACAATTTCTTTTTTTCATGTGTGTAATTGTTCATATGATTACGATTAGAATTCATTGCTACGTGCGATTCACATGAATTTTTTTTTTTTTGCGATATGAAACATCGACATCGTAAACAAACAAAAAACAACAGCATTTTAATTATGAATCTGGTGTTGGTGTTGAATTTTGTTTTCGTTTGCTTAATTTTTGTTTGATATGGCAAATCAATTGCTAAATTAGCGTCACAGTTTCTTCCATTTCGGTTGTGTTGAGTAATATATGTTTTTGTTCATGTTTTTTTTCCCCGACGAAAGTCATTGAATATCGCCGATTTCACATAGCCTTCGATAGAAAAACGAATTTATTTAAGTCGTTTTGTGATTTGAGTGCTGTTTTTCTGTTTTATTTTCGATTATCGTTGTGAAACAACAAAAAAATTCGACGCAATTTTTCATTTCACTTAAGGTAATATAATGAAATATTTTGTGCATTTATAGAAATTCGATTTTAGATAATGTCTCGTGGATTTTCGAACGGCGGTGGTTCAGGTTTTCGAGGATTGCGTGATTACGGTGCAACAAGTTCAACGAGCGGCATGTTGGCTGGCCCGTCATCAGGAATGAGTGCGGCCGGAAGCGATGTAACATTCGCCGGTTTCAGCCCAACCGAATTCATGTCACTGAGCGAAAGTATCGCACAGAACATAGCTTCGGTGAAGTCGAGCTGGCAACACTTGGAAAAGATTTTAAAATTAATCGGCGGCAAAAAAGATACAGTGGCTCTACGAGATAAAGCGTAAGTCAAAAACTAACAAATTGTGTAAACGCTTATTTTTTTCTTGCGTTATCTAATGTGATTTGAGGTCGTGTATGAAAAGAGAGAAAAAGAGAATTTGACGATAAGTGATACACGGTGTGGCATTTCATTGTTCTAAATAGTGTTTGTTTCTTTGCAGGCACCAAATTCAAACATCGGCCAATGAAAAAGTTTTAGCAACAAAAAAAGATCTACAGAGACTAACGGTTGTTGTACGTCATGGCGACAAACAGCAGAAATTGCAAGTGGAACGATTAACGTCCGATTTTCAGAAAGTCGTCGAAATCTATTCGGCTTGTCAACAGGTTAGTGAACGTTGCTCGTTAATACAATCGAAATTCATTGATATAAATCGATGGTTTTGTTTTTTTTCTTCCTCATTGTTGGTTGACAGCAAATTGCGGCTAAGTTGAAGGGAATTCTATTGATAAATGCGTCACAGCAGGATGACATTAATAACGATGCAAACAATAGCGCGACAGACACCGACTATTTATTCCATCAAAAACAAAAACAAATGCAACAAAATCTACAATTCGAACAGAGTGTGATGAAAGAACGTGAGCAGCGTGTTCGTCAAATTGAAGATGATGTGCTCGATGTCAATCAAATCATGCGAGAGCTCAACACATTGATAAATCAACAAGGTGAAGCAATCGGTAAGTATCACTACAAATTGTGTGCACAAACAACGATTTATTTTGTAATTTTTTTCGATATTTCCCATTTCAGATACCATCGAAAGCAGTATTGATCACGTGGGAAGTGATGTGGAAGCGGGCCGATCGGAATTGGTTAAAGCGGCTGAATATCAAGCCAAATATCGTAGAAAAGTTGTTATTCTATTACTAATAGCTGTGATAATAGGATTAATTGTCACCGGTCTAGTTGTATCACAACTAAAGAGTTAAAATCGTTTTGCAAAAAACAACAACACCAACAACAAATTGTGTTTCAGTTTTGAAATTAAATGTTTTTCCTTTCTACTTTTTAGTTTGTATCATTTGCAAACAATATTATTTATACACATATATAGAAACACCATAACACTCAAACATCAAAAAAATAAAAGACAAATCGAAAACAAAAACTGACATTAATTTAGAATTTAGCGCTAATTTATGCAAAATGCATAGAGCAGTTCAGAGAATTAATTCAAGCCGGAAAAAAATAATAATTCAAAAACAAATGATATCTTTGCAAATGTTACATGGTATTGTTAATTTTTTTAGATTAAAAAAACACAAGTGTTCTGTTAAAATTGAAAAATTTGCTCGTCGCATTTGCTGTGTGAAAACTCCTTGGAAATACGTCTATGCACCAAATATTCCAAATGAATATATTCGAAATGTCGCATTTTTGCTTTATTTGACTTATTATATCTCGAAAAAGATACACTGAAAAAGAGAAAAAGAACAATTGAGAGTGAGAGAGAGAGATTGAAGTGAGAACTGGGCCAAGGCTAACATCGATGAGAATATATGACCTTTGTTGAATACTTTTTTATTGAGTTTGCACTGAATCTGCCCGCCCCCTTATTGAGGACAACCACATAGATAATAATTATAATTATTTGCTATTAATTATCCTTTTTATGGAAAATCACACACAATTATTTGTAACAAAAAAAACAAATTCTATATTTATATTTAAAGATATTCAAGCATACGCCAGACGGCCAGACGTATGCTATTTGTATTGGTATGATATTAACCATTGGCATGTAATCCAATAAATTATAATAAACTTTGTATTTGGTCAACCATTCATCAAAATCTTTTTATTTCGCGTTTTTGTTCGCTTATTTGGAATTTTATTGGAATGAATGACTTGAAGAATCTCAACTTGGCTAGCGGTCATAAGGCATCAGGCGGACGTACTTTCCCTCAACTATCGATATTTTTCTATATGACAAATGATTGATTTTCCATATAAATGGGCTAAAAATAACGTTTGACTTCACAGACTTATTACTGGTGAGATTAATAATGGGATGAAAACAGAGAATTTGAGGTTCAATTTCAATTTCCCGCTTGCTAACTTTTTGGGTGTAGAGTACAAAATTTCGTCGGAATAGCTAGCCGAGTCCCTAGTAGAGATCCATAGTTTACTAGGATATTTGGAAATTGACGCGTAACTTGAGAGTTTTACTAAATACTATGTGAAATATTTACTAAATGAAATATTTTTCACAAATTAGAAAATCTGCCTCATTAAATTTTTTTGTTTTTGATCGAAATCTTAAAATTTTAATGTGACAGCATGTTTTCTGTACGTGATGAGGGTAATTGCTGTGAAAAGCGATGTCGATATTTTACACATGATAACATTTCTGTATCATCTTCAATATACGATGCTCGCCGGTATCTACTTTTGTTTGTTGTTTATAGTGTTTCGTTGAAATGAAATTCATCAAAATTGCTTCGAATTTCATGATTTGGTGTGTTCAGTCATTGCATTCGAATATGGCAACATGTAACGCACAATTATTTTCGAATGATCTTCCGTTCTCTATGGCACATATAAAATCGGTCGATTTTAAAGTTTAATTTCATTTGTTGTGTTCACTATCAATTTTAATTGCTTCTGTATGATGGTGAAACATGCCAACAACACAACGGCGAAAATAAAATACACACATACACACCGTAATTATGCTCTCTATCTGTGGAGTGAGCTCTTCTACGAAACAAAACCACATTCATTTAGATAATGAACGAAAAAAACGGTGCATCGTAAACAATAATTTTCAATTAGAAAGCAAATGTAGTGTTTATTTGCCATGCATTCACAGACAGAAACGATTTCGTTGGTTTTTATGGCATTCCGAAAGTTTTTGTCCGAAAAAAATGAAACCATTTACGATTGAGTTGTCACTCAATTTGGATTGATGGGTTTTTGAAAAAAAATATGGAGCGCATTCATGAACATCTAATTTCAGAAAAAATGAGCGAAAACAACACATTTTTGCGGGCACTTAATCAAAGATTAATGATGAAATGGAAGGCGATATGAAAAATGTTCGAAAGAGCTTGGAGAAGAAAACAAAACACATAATTCACACTCACCACAAATGCTATGATTGGCGATAACTGCTGAGTACCTCGAATCTTTCTGGGAATATTCAATCAATGCTGCAAGACAATCAAATATTGTGGTTTCAATGGTAAAACGACTTGAATCGCTTCGATCGATTGATTTATTATTCTGAATAGAACAAGTCGAGAGAGAAACAGAAAAAGTACAACGGCTGCTAGAGATTATAGAGTCTAGTTGTAATTTATAACTCGCGAGTATCTATCTTAGTTCCTTTGTTCAATGAGCATGCACTAGAAGGGCTTGATAGTGATTTTTTTCTTTATCTCCAATTTACATAAATTTAAATTGTGCGCATGTGATGTGACTATCTCTTGCGATAAATGATCAGTGAACATTAGTTCTTGGGGTAGATTTTTTTCTTTCTTTTGCATTAATTGTGAGTGTGCATTGGGCGTGCTTAAGTGTGCAACAAACACATAGATCCATATTTGAAAATGCATGAACTGATGTGCATGAAGTGCATACAAATGACGGCAAATTATATTAGCCACGAACATGTAACAACAACTGTAGCAGTAGAAGCGGAGACGGCCAAAAAAACTGACAAAGATCGCACATTTGTGGCAGCAGTGAGCGCATAACGAAAAGAAAAAAAGTGTTTGAAAGATTTCATCTATTTTTCGAATGATAAGCTCTACGGCGGCGGCACATTCAAAAAATAAGAAAGTCATTGTTCAACGCGATTAATTTTTAAACTAAACAATTTTGTTTCACCCGAAATTAGCTCTCGCGATCGGTGAAAATCACACAAAAAGCACGAAACAATTTCAAATAGCAATAAATAAAACCTCAAATGGTTGAATCGATTGAAGCAAAGACACTCAAAACTTACGCCAATTGAATTTCAAGCAGTCATCACCACAGACTGCATGAAGAAATGTACAAAATAGCATTTATCGTAGTTTGCTTTTCGTTCAGTCAATATTTAAACTTAAAAAACAACAGGGAACAAAAAAAAAACGTTGTTAAGATCTTGATATGCCTGAAGTCACACATACACGCTCATATAGCAATTCACATTGATTTTGTTTGCATTGCAAACAATAAAACAACTGAAAAGTCGAAGAAGCAAGCGGTGGATGGAGAGGATAAGAAGCAGCAAGAAAACGACTGATTAAAAACATCGGGCTGTGTTTCACGCATATTCTTTTCTGGCACTCAATAACCATACACAATTCGGATTTTACTTTGTTATTTTCTGTACCCAACGAATGGCAAATCATTTCACCAACATTTCTAAATTGATTTATTGGTGCTTAAATTTGTTCCGCGTGCGCTTTAAGTCGCCGTGTTTTTTGTACGCCAATACAACAGGCAATTTGGTTCGTTCTCCATGTTTATAAAATGTACACCAAAATGTATATGCAGTTTGCAGCAATCAAAACAATGTCGCCGTTAAAAAACAACGATCGAAGCCCTGCTAGTGATTTGGTCTATACTGTGCCATGTTTGATGCAATTTCTTTCAACAATTCAAACATGATATCATGAACGAGTCTCATGTTTTCCCATATCGCTAACGATTTGCAATAAAACGAAATATTCTTTGTTTTTTTCTTTCGTCGTTGTTATTTCTACTTGGTTATACTTCACGTTCAATAATTTGTTGATTCTAGTTCAAAATGTAACAATTTTTGCGTGAAACTATAAACCATTCATTAACATCGCGTTTGAAGCTTTGTATATTCGTTCGCCAAAGCAGCAGGCATCACTTAATCATTATGTCAAATTTGATGCATTCGACATGCGAAATGATTGTATTGATCGTGATAATCTCCATTTTGGAAAAGAAAGGTAAAATGTGTTAAAAATTGTTTTTTAAAAATCAACGATTACAATAATCGGCAAAATTTCGTAAAAAGAGTAGGTAAACTTCATCTGGTGACAAGAATGAAGAAAGGCCAAATCACACGCAAATCACAAATTTAAAAACAATCTACACAATTCCTCTGGATGTGATTATCTATTTTCAATTTTCGAAGCTATTGCAATGGACTCTTAAAACAGAGAAAATATCGATCGATACGAATGTATAATTTGATTAATTTGAGTTAATTGTGTTTGATTTTGATTCACGACTCTTTCAGTAAACTAAAACCCATTTGGAATTTGCACTTCACGTCTCATTTGCTTAATGTTATAACCGAAGCATTGTATGCATGTTCAGTTGCATATTAAATAATATGCCAACAACAAGATATAGATATCTTTTATCGAATAAATTATATTAAACTAATTAAACGTTTGAATGGTTTTTATTTGCGTCGACGCTTTATAAACTGGAACGGCCACGAATGAAGAGAACCAGAGACAAGGCAACTCGAAGCGATTACATCCGATTGTGTACGTGAAATGCATTTTAAAATGGAGACACCCGAAGCATAAATGCTGATAATATAACATTCATTTCATGCCATTTTTCTTTTGAATTTATGTAAATTTCTCTCGTTTTTTTGTGTGTGAAAAAATCCATGTGCGAATAGATTAACAAGGGTATTTTCCGTTGTTTGACAGGAAAAAAGTCGTTGAAGAATGCTGTGGAAATTCGACATCTGTTTGCAATTCACAAGATAGGCGAGTGTGATGAATGTGGCTAAAGCGTATGCACGGTGCATGGCCAAGGACAAACCGATGATGCATCCAAATAAACATGTCTGCTTTTTTTAAAAATATAAATCATCATTTTACGACGTGATCTAAAAATAGTACGTTTTTTTACTCACAAAAACAGACAAAATTAACAGCCACAGATAATTTTCTTTCGGAAATTGAGGTCTTAACCTGAAATATTTACATTCGAAAATCATCATTTTCCATTATTTTGATTATAAAGAAGAAAAAAAGACTGAAATTCCAACACAATGAACGTGAAACAGTGTATGAATGTACGAAATATGGCTCAAATGCAATATTGATGTAAAATAATTCAACGAACAACAATCGAACAACAGAGCCAGACACATTCACATTTTAATGGCCGAGGCGATAAGAAAAAAAAACATGCATTTATAGTTAGAAGACGTTGCTACGAAGATGGGAATAGAAAAAAACTAAAAAGTGTGGCGCACGCAGCACTAGTCGACATAATAGTAGCTAATTGTAACGAAAACATTAAGCACATCTGAAGCATAGTTACAAGCCCATCAGCCTTCAACGACGGCCAATAACATTCTTTTCTTCTTTTTTGTTGAGTTTTATTACCACTTCCTTTGCTAATGTCGTTATTTCTAGTTTTTCTTAAACGATTTTGCTACTTGTAACCTACATCGGACACTCAACAATTCAGCTGATTTCGAGCGAGATGCCAATATCGACAAATAGCTATTAATGTGCGATTATCGTTTTTTATAAGTGGTTGCTTATGTGTGATGTAAATGAAATTGGAAATCGCAATTCCATTGAATGTTTTGTGGCTTCCTCAATGGATCTTGGTTTGAATTTCCAGGTGATTTGTCATATGATCCCCAATTTGTCAATTTCAGCTTTCAACGATTCTTTGAATTCTGGGAAAATCTCATCTTATATCATCATACTTATCCAGATTCAATGGTCATGGTTTCGATTTATTTGAATGGCAAAAAAGATCTTATTGACGTCTGGTCGACTGAATCAAAAATACATTGTGAAAATTTTGAAATCGTTTCGAATATTTCGTATGCAATTGTATTGCTGGTTGCGAATGATCCGAAAATGTGTTTTGTTTTTCCATACCAACATAATTGGCATGATGAAAAATTGAATTACTCCAATAATTAAGCCGCATATATTGTACAGTCTGATTCTCTCTATCTCGCTCCGGTTTCGCTTTTCTCGTTTCATTCCGTGTCTCTCATATACGATATAGAGATATATAAATATCTTTTGTGTGTGCTTTTTCTTGCGGTTTGCTTCGATTCAATTGTGTTTACACATTTTCGCATCGAATGCGATTTATACTTAATTTTGAATGTTTTTTTTTTATATTGTTGTGCTTCTGCTTCACACATATTATATTTCTTTCATTCATACAAAAAATGGGGTTTTTCTCGGTCAAACTCTTTCAATCGAAACGAACAGAAACATATTCGAATTGGATTTTTTTTTGCTCTTGCTTCTCTTCAGCCAATTCACAATGTTTCTCATTTCCTTTCTGTGCATGATTTCTTTCAATATAAAAAAAAGAAAGAAAAATAAATGAGCGAATTTTGGAATTGATAGTAAACCGCCATTTCCGAAATAAAAATGCTCATTAAAACACTCTCTCATATAATATACACTTCACGATTAACGTGCGTGCATCGCAGCCATTTATTTGGAGTCTTTGATCCGATATTGATGTGGAACGTAACAAATGTGTAAATTTTATGATCGATCCCATTTGTAGATAAATGATAAGCAAAAAAAAACATTGACTAGTAAGCTTATACTTTATTACTATTTCAGGCGAGACATTGCTGAATTAATAACGACTAATAACTATATTTCTCCCCTACGCTATTTGCATGATAATAGGAATAAAGAATTTGTATGATATCAAATTGGAGGAACATTCACACATGGCAGCTGAGTGGCATAAAACTAATATTTTTTATGGTGACATGCAAAATGTTTTGATTTTCGCAAGCACCTAACCATTCGCATTCGGACATAAATAGAGGCATCGTATTTGTGATGCACTAAAATCTGCAAGCGGTAAACTACGCACTTTGCCAATGTCTTTGTATTGTACGATGGTTCTTTTGTGCGAATGCTCTGCTTTGTGTGGCCTATTCATAACGAAATGTGAGCGCAACGTCAACACACTGAAACCAAAACAATCCAACAAAGAAATTGTATTTACGGTAAAAAGTAGAATTTTGCGTTAAAAAACAAACATAACCATATGAAAACAAAATCTTTTTCACTTCTCTCTCTGTTTGTCTCCACAACCATGTGTATTGCCTTTTCCTTCTGCGTTGACTCTATTTTGCTGTGTGTCACTCAACGTATGTGCTCTGTTGCTCTCTCTCTCTCTCGGTGTGTGTATGTATTGGAGTTTGCACTATTTGCTCGCCGTTCAGTTGACTGCGTGTAGAAATTGTGTGAGTGAGTGCGCGCGTGCGAGAGTATTTGTGGTTGCTGAGTTCTTCATTCTTGCTTTTTGGAGCGATGCTCGTGTATTGGTGTGTAATATGCTTCATTTCGTTGCTTGTTTATTTTCTTTTCACTCTAGCTAGCTCACGGCATACAGTCGGCAATTTGGCCAATCTTTAAATCAGTTGGCTCAAGTTACTGCATACAACCAGTCGGACTTTTTTATGTGTAAATTTTGTGAATCGAAATCATATTTAGTTTTCATTCCGTTCAAAAATAAAAAAACGAATCATTGTTTTAACATAAATCCAGATAACATTTGTTGAATAGAAAATACATTTTTACGGCGATTGTTTTAACGAAACATTTACAACGAAAACACATTTTTTTTCGCGATAAAAGTGACCAAAACTGAAAATCAAAACATTATTTGTGAACACGAACTAAAGCAATTTTTAAAACAGTCAAACAAAAAGGATTAAAACCGTCCCAATCATTGCTATTTTATGCACAAGCCGGTAAGTATTAGCCAGACACAAAAAAATTGAAAGAAAAAAATAAGAAAAATTACAAAAGAAGAAAATGAAAGAAAAAAAGGAGAAAAAAATGTTCCAAATATTTATTCCTCCATTGAATTGTGAAGTGTTCCCGGATAGTGTTCAGCAAGCAAGCTTGTCAGAGTTGTTAAGAATGAAAACTCTTAAGTCGCTTCCGTTGGTTGATTGTGTTTATTTTTATTTGACTTTAAAAAAAACTAATAGAAAAAAGAACAAAAAAAGAAGGCAACGTATGGCCTCCCTCGAGCATATGCGATTTGATGCGGTTTCATTTGAGAGAATATCGTGCACAATACTACTGTATATATGACGATATACGGTGTCTTGTTTTGTGTGTCTCTTGATTTTAATTCACGGTTTTTTAGCGAAACAGAATTTTGGCAAGCCATCAAACACTACTACGCTGTTTCAATTGTGAACATACTGGATTTCCCAGAATATAAAACGGTCGACTGAACGTTTTCTGGTGTCACATAATGCTTTGTCACTGTCCGTGTATTTTTCGTGCGCGCTCTTTAAACCGAACATAATGTATTCTTGATTTCTGTCTTTCAAAGTCAACGCCAATTTCAATGGGTTTTTTGTTTGAATGGCAAGTGAGCAAATGGTCTGGCGATAAAGCCGTACAAAAAGTGGTGTACGAGACGAAAAGCATAAAATCGAAGCGATTTGTACACAAAACATAAGGACCTATGTCCACAAAAACGGCATACTTAACTGACGATGCATTGCAGTGCCGAGAAATAAACAGACAGATAAAACGAATCAACGATGCATGTAAAAGGCACGCGAATCGAAAATTCGTTCAAACAAAATGAGGCGAAAAAAAACGAGAAAATAACAAACAGATATGAAGTCTGCTTCGTTATAGTTACCATTGTCGAATTGTATATATATCGAATAATTTATATATGCTCGGTGCATCGAAGTATAAGGTGTGGCACACTCTCATCGGCAAATTGAGTGGCACAGACACACGATATATTGAAATGATAATGGTTAGGGATGAAAATATGTGAAATATGCTCGCACGCACCGCACACATAAAAGGATCGCAGGCACAACAAATCGAGAAAATAAATTTTGGAATTACGTCTGTTCCCTGATGTCACCCGCCATCGTATTCATAACGTACAATAATGCAATAAATGTTTTAACAATTGAAAATGAAAACGAAAATGTCGGTGTGACAGCCTATTTAGATGACAATCGCAACGAAAACAGAAATAATAATGTTTGAAATGTATGCGAGAAAGATGGGTAACGCATATAAAATATACACGCTAGACGAAAATAGTGAATAAATGAGTCAGTCACAAAATGAAGAACATAATTTTTATATGTCCGTCCTTGTAATTCTTTCCCGTCGCACAAATTACTTACATATATATTTACATTTACCAACATGTTCACTCTTTCTTTCATTCTATGTTATTTTGTTGACAAACGGAAATCCGACCAAAAAAAGTGGAATTTATGAATGTTTCGTGATGATTCGCATACAAATTCACAAAAGGATTTCATTTAAGGAAAAGAATAAAATTCATTTGGAACGAAAGAAAAAGAAGAGGAAGACCCAAATCATATTCATTTGTTCTTTGTTTCAAGTTCAGCAGTTCTTCTTCCGCACGGCATTCCAAAATTGATTTTTTTTCTCGGTCCTCTAGTATTGTTTGTGCACTTTAAACTCGCGCATGTGCCAAATTTCAGGTTCAAAACTCATGCTGATTGTATTTTTGTCGTACCACTTGTGAATTGCATTCGATACACATAGAGTAAAACACGGTGTACGTGTGTTATATTAATATAAAACATGAGAATATTTGCCGAAATTGTTCTTCGTCGGATAAACATTGATGAATTTAATCCCCTTTTTTGTATGAGAAAATATAATGAATCGGCGTTGAATGATGAAAATTAGGGTCACAACATTGCGCTTCCTGATGATGATAAAAATAGAAATCACGCCAAGGGGACCGATACAAACGCCACACTTCTGATGAAAATACATAAACCAACTGCAGAACTATGCAGAAAATACCCTTGAAAATGCCGACTTTGATTGTGTTAGTTTGTTTATTAGTAGCTACCGCACAACCGAAAATATTTCATACCGGGACGAAGCAAAGCCGTATATTCTACACGCATACCATTTGTTCAATATTCGATTCAGAGAATATTCCGTTTGGGTATATACCGCGCTTTTATCGATCGATACGACCAACGCTTCTATGGCAACAGCGTTTTTCAATGCATTTGACTTTACCGTCTTCGGATAGGTTCGATTGAAAGCAAAACAAAATCTCAACACCAAATTTTTCGCACTCAAAAAACCTTCGAAGAAAATCTGATTTTTATTTTCAGATTATTTTTTGAATGAAACTTTCTGTGAAAAGAACCTGTGACAAACCGTATTTTTGTTGTTTTAACTGTGAATTCACAAAGTATTATGGTTTATTTTCTAAATGAGTCACATAGAAATGAGAGTATAAGTGTTTGCCTAGTGGCAAAACTGAAGAAAAAAAATTGTTGAACAATTTAATACTTTCTAACGAGTCAGTAATAGCTCTTCGGATGAAAATGGCTGCGAGGTAAGAACCCATTCGCGTTGTTATCGTTTGCCTATCTATCGGCACTTTTCATCTAAAATCAATTGAACAAATGTGAAAAATACCGCAATGCTGACATTTAAATAACATGAAACATGTCAATAAAATCTAAATCATACGCATTTTCTATCGCCCGTCTTGTAATTATCATGAATTGCAGTCATATCGCTAAATGAGAAACTATCATTAAAATCGAGTTGGGTGCGTGTGTGTGTGTGTATGTGTGTTAACGGTGAAACAATCAAAAATTGGTTTGCGTTTTTCTCGCGCTCGAGAGATGTCTCGGTGATGCATATTCGGAAGGAGGATTCAATTTGTTTTGTTTCACATTTTTCAATCCAAAATAATGGAACATAATTTGAATAACACGATGCACACACACTTGCAACCAATTAAAAATGCGTTCACAGCACAAACGATTGGGCAAAAATCAGAAAAGAAAACCTAGAAAATGTTAATTAATTGGTTTGAATTTGGTGTAGCGCCAAACGCTCATTCAACATTCAGTTCGGCAATGTGAGCGAAAGAGAGCCGCGCATCGAATGAAGAAAAAAAAATGCAATAACCGTCAATTGAGGAAAAACGGGAAGGAGATGCAACACAGAGGAGAGAACCGAGAAACACAATAAAAATGAAACGAAAAAGAAAAAGAAAAGAAATCACTGTGAAGACATGCACAAAATTCCGGCCACTGAACTTTTTATGCACGCGATTCGTTATTATTGTTATGCGAATCGTTATTGCTGTTGTTTAAGCTCCCTCTCTCTCTCTCTCTCTCTCTCTCTCTCTCTCTCTCTCTCTCTCTCTCTCTCTCTCTCTCTCTCTCTCTCTCTGTACTTGTATATCACATTGGCGCGCAAACAGCAGAAGAAAAAAAATTGCTGCAATTTTCTTCGATCTTGTTTATGTTCGCACTCACTTAAGATTTATTCGAATCGGTTTTTCCCTTCAAACAAAATTATGTTCATAATTATTTGTACAAACGGAATACCGTACACGAAATGAAAAATGGATCATAAGTGTGCGCGGGTGTTTGATGCCATCTCTCAGTTGTGTTCACGAACATTGTTTTAAAAAATGCCAGAAACTAACTTTCACCGGGAAACAATCTCTCACCGCAATTTTTCAAAGTTGTCATTTCAGACTGATCCAATTTCGAATTTACAATTAGCAGCATAAACAAACGAAACCTATGTTATTAGCCATTATTTTACCGTGTTCATTCACAGCGCGAAATCGACTTTATACAATTATACCAAGCGCAAGCAATCATAAAATTGACATTATTTTCGCTTGAATTGACGTGCTCGTAAAATTGAAATCAATTTCCTAGAAGAAGCCATTTGTGGCATTCCATCAAAATAAATGCAAAAAATGGAATTTTATGTCGGTTTATAAATTTCGGCGCCCGGATATGCTCACCAATTCTATTGTTGTGCAAAAAAAAAACCTCTCAATCGATTATCCATTGTGTGTTGTTATACAAATCCAGTTTAAGAATTCCGATTGTTCAACGAATCGAAGCACGATGCTTTGAAACGCTATCTTTTGTGAAGACACAGTGAAAAAGAAATCAAAACTGTAGTTTACTTGCTTTGCAGCAGCCAAATTCATGTGAATAACTGTTTTTTGTCCGATCACTTTTTTATGGCTACGATTTTTCGGTAAAAGTTTTATACCCAATTTTACTTTATACCCAATTTCGATAAAATGCGATCGTTTAATTAACAAAAAAACGAGACCTCGAATTCGAGAATCGGGCCAATCGCAAGTACTTAATCTCAATAGTTGGCTTGTGATTTGCGGTTTTTTGAAATGACATGCTTTTACCATAACATTGATATAAATTGAAACCAAATAATGTAACTGCTTATTCGTTATTCGCCTTAAATATTACTGCAGATCCAATTTCACAAAACATATCAAATTCGGTGTGAAAGATAAGCGTAGCTTCGATATCAATTGTGGTATCCAAATTGAACGCAAAGTGTTACGATTTCAAAGACACATGATTCAGTTTCATTGTCATTTAAATCGATTTTTCCTCTTATTTCGAATGATTTCTATATTTCTATCTATTTACAGTCATTTTTTTAAATCTAGACTTTGAAATGAAGCTACCTATGGTAACTTAGGTAAATTAATCAAGCAAAACCAGTGATCAGTTACGCCGACTAGTAATATTTTGATAAAGTTAAACAATATATGTAAATTCAACTCTCGATTGTATCTATTTTTGAAAATCATCGATTTGCACAATTATGCAAAATATAAATAATTTTCTCTTAAACGTTGCGATTATTGATTATATTTATTTTCTTCTAAAAAAAATGACCGAACATAAAGATTGCAATCTTCTTCTATCGAGTCCGAGTAGAAAGAAAGAAAGTTCACTTTTTCCATACAACGTTGATACTTACACACATCAGCATATATGTTGTTTATTTATACATAAGTTTTTCACAAATCTATAAATGTTATTCGTGCTTTTCAGCAATGAACGAACGCTATGAGTAATCGAAATGATTCATACATCAAACATAGTAATCTCTTGCTTGTAAATTATACACTGAATTCTGGAGCTGAATCATCTATATTCCGCACACTGATTGTGTTAGTTGATTAAAGTCTCTTGCTTCCCAAACATAACTAGAATATTTCTAGTGAAGATTGCATCTGAAAAATTTGCATAGAATTTATTTTTGCATCACACTGTCCACAAAGATATAAGCTTAAAATTCAAATTAAACACAAAATCCCGTTCGCATTTAATTTTCAACAAATTGACTAAGAACTAAGTGTCCATTGCTGATACAATCAATTTGTAAACGAGAAGTAAAACATTCACAAATTGCAAGTGCCCCGTTGAGTGTTCTTTGTGTTCTGTGATTTCATTCAGAGATTGTGTGAAGTGATTCAACAAACGAAAGCGGATGATTTAGTGACAATTATAAAAATCAGATTTAATTTGTTTGGAGTTGCATAGTGGCGGAAACGAAATATCATTCATATGGTAATTCTTTTGGTTTTTTTCCTCTCTCTCTCTCTCTCTCTCTGTCATTTCGAAATGCTGTTGAAAATTCGCAATAACATTATGGCCAATTTTATTACGCATAAATTACGATGAACACCAGCATATAACGAGTTGGACACTAAGAGCTAAGTCAACACTGAGGCGATAAGTCAATTATTCCAAATGAATTTCATTTGGTCTTTCATTTTGATAATGCGAAGTAACGGCGCAAATCCCATTTACCAGACCACTTTTTTTATTGCATTCAAGCCTGATGGAAATAAGAGCGTACGAGTTGGTATAAATAAAAACGGTTCTGATTATAAGTAAAAATCTCGAACGGAAACGTTGCGAATATGTGACTAAAATAAATGCATGAATAATATGAAAATCCGATTCAGAGGCTCAGTCTGTCAACAGCGCATTTTTGTTGCCGATTCTAGTTGAATATGTCGTGGTGTCGATATTAAACGCTAAACCATTAAGTAGAAGAAAAAACGACTTACTGACTTTGAAAAAGAGCATTTGCATAAAACGACCGTGAAGAGGGAGTTTGTTTGCACTTAAGCCCAGTTGGATCCCGTCAAAATTTCGTATTCGATTGAATATAAAATATAGTTTCCCTCCATTGAGAAGAAAAAGAAGAAAAAAAAAACGTGTTATTGAAAATCCAAATAGTAGAAAGTGTTTTCTTTGATCGACTTTTAAATGATTTTCCATTAAAAGACTCCCAACAGTTTTATTGGTACTTATGCCAAGGCTACCGCCATTGCCGCCGACATCGATGTCGACACATCTGTTAAAATCAAGCATTACATTGATATAAAAACGATAAAGCCGTTTATTGAAAACGATTTGATTTCAAGTGTAATTTGATTGAGATGATGCGTTTAAGTTTGATTTGCAATGGCACAAGCCCACAATGCACACAAATTGCAATAAAAACGAAAGAATTTCTTTACATTTTTTTCTCGTTGTTGTGTTGTTTATGAAAGTTCAACTATTCCACTTATTCCAATGAAAACAGAAAACTGACTGCAATATTGTGTAGAAATAAAAGCAAATGAAAATGGTTTTGAAATCATCATATTTCAGTTGAAAATGCGCACACAATACGATTGACTAATGCATCGCGTACATATCATCGTCAGCAAAATAAGAAAAATAAGAAGAAGAAAAAAACATCTGATTGTCGGTTGAACATGAAGAGTAATGTCTGTGTCCATTGAAGCGATGATTTATACTTGGCGATTTTTACAAGTTGCCGAGAAAGACTTACTCGGACTTACCAAGATGATATGCATATTATTAGGAGGAAAAAAAATTGCAATGCGTGTGCAGCGTGTGCCCATATAATGTGCATGGGCAAAAATATTATGCCGATCATTCATATATTGTTGTTGTTCGTTGTGCCGTTTAAGATTTGCAATGTTTTATATGTAATGTTTTTTTATGCATTTTTTTGTGTTTACTTCATTCTTCGATTCTTAAACAACAACAGTAATAACCGCTAGCGCATTTTTCTGTGTAACTCTTGCAATTATAATATATACGTATTTATTCGCCTTTTCACCATTAAACACTTTAATAGCTGGCGTTGGATTACGAACATACGTTCGATCCCGCGAGAGCTTTTCTTCCGTTTCGCTCAATAGTTTCGAAAGATTTATGTGCACACACATCGAGAGCTGTAAACCCCAACAATCGTTTCTACCGTTCATTCTAGAGGTGCTTTTTTTTACTTCTGTTTCGTTAAATTTAAATTGAAAAGAAGAAAAAAACACTTCGATTTCCATTCAAATTAAGTCAAACAGTTCCATTTTAATTGGTTTTGAACAAAATATTATTAACTGTATGTCGTTTATCACCTATCTCTGCATCTGCGTCTTCATTACGTTTGTTATTTGAAAGTGTCGAGCCGGCATTAAAAGTTAGTTCATAAAAACAACCTTTGAGTGAAAAAAATCAATCTATTTACATGACAATAAGCAAAAATAAACTGATTTTCAATAGTTTTTAATGTTAATGGTTGTAGTTTAATTTTTTTAATTTTCCTTATCTCTTGAAACAGGTTCAACGTGAATGAAAAGCGGTCGAAAAGAAGCGTGAAGATATTTAGGATTTTAAAAATATTGCGATTGAGTTAAATAAAATAACAAAATGAACGGTTCACCCTATGAGTTAATTCATACAAATGGTGATATGCTGTCGCATAATCAACAGAAAGGATGGTGGACCATCGGTTTGATCAATGGCCAACACAAATACATGACAGCCGAAACATTTGGCTACAAGTTAAACGCAAACGGAGCCAGTCTCAAGAAGAAACAAATGTGGACATTGGAACCATCAAACACCGGCGAAAGTAAGTTACATTCAAAAATACATATCTGAAATTAAAAAGAGAGAAAAAACAGTGCAAAAGAAATATCAAAACAAAAATAAATGGTTTTCAGTTTGAAAACAACAACACAATGACTCAAATGATTCACGCTTCGTGATCCAATTACAGCGCAAAAATGTTAACGCGTGCATTTCATTGTCAGTGCAAATGTGGTATGAGAAAAAAAAACAAAGAAAAACGCACCGCTTTTATGGCATTTTCACAAAATGAATTTTGACAGCCAATAAAATGCCTAAATTGGGTAGTCGACTGTTCGCGACTTGTGACTTGTGTTTGCTAGTTCTCATTGAACATATAACCATTTACACTAGTCAATTTATTGAATTTTTATTCTAAGCGAACAAAAAAAAACTTCAAAATGAACATGCAAACCCTCGACACATAACGATTTCGTGGCAATTTGTTTTATGTAAAAACGAACCAATCTGAATCACAATAATGATGTGCATTTGTTTGAAAAAGTGAATGTCATCGTCGGTCCGTCGTTGCCAATATCACTTGCGAACGGAAATGAATTTGCTCGACAATGGGAGTGAGTTGAGATAAGAGAAACGCTTAACGAAATCATTGAGAAGAAAAAAAACTCGCATAAAAATTCAAATGGTTGCGCGCCGCTGTCGATGACTACTTAAAATTACGTTTGATGATTTACACTTGTCTTTTTTTCTTCTCCGTTCATATGGTGTATGCGTCTGTGATGTGCCGTAAGTCGTTTCCAGTCTGTTTATTGTTCACATTTTGCCGAGCTCATGAGTAAATGACATGTTTTTTCTTGTGTTTTTTTCTCATATAAAAATCAACAGCGAGTCAATGCTTTTACATTTCTTAATTCTCTCCTAAAACCTGGCTATTTTCATCATTATTTTCCCAATTAAAATTAAGCGGAATATGTACGATGAATGAAAGAGGAAAAGAGAGATGGGGAGACAACACGGGCAAATCATAATTTCTAATCGCAGTTCGTGTGCAGTCATTTGAATTGTGAATTCATTGCCGACATTTAAAGACATTTCAATATGGAAGAAAATAAATTTACGATCATTAGCGTCATTAACGTATCGCTGCTGGTACTGCCCAAATAGAAAATATAGTGCAATTAATTTTTATTACACTCTATTCAGTGATCAGAGTGTTGAACGACACTATTATGTTTGTTTTTTGCTTTCGTTTGTTTGCTATGCTCATAAAATCTCAAATAAAAGGTTTGCCATTTTTTTTGTTTGAAAGAAATCGTTTGTGGTTTTCTATTGAGAAGCATATTTGAAATGAAAAATGTTATTTCAATATAGTCATCAGTCGAAATGACAACAAAACACGCATACACACAATGACATCCAATTGACAATTTGTGCTATATAATAATTTATTACTTTATTTGGAGTTACAGATCAATTTATTAGCGGTCGACCGGTATTTATGCAATGTTTGCAAAATGGAATGAAAATTTGACTCATGCAATTTTTATAAATGATTTATTGCATTTGATTTGTGTGTTATTCGATTCGTTATTTTTTGTTTAATGCGCTTTTCCGATCAGCAATTTGATTCGGTCAAATCGTTAAATGTGAATCGTTAAAATTAAATGACTGTAACTAGCAGAGCTGTTATTTTTATTTACCAAACACTTGCGCATCATTAAGTGATTTGAATGAAGAAATATTTAAAAGACCATTTCAAAACCATCAATTTATTCATGAGCCAACTGAACCATTTGCAGGCATCATCTATTTGCGATCACATTTGGGCAAGTACCTATCGGTCGATTCATTTGGTAATGTATTATGCGAAGCAGATGAACGTGATGCGGGAAGTCGATTTCAAATCAGCATAGCGGAAGATGGTTCCGGTCGTTGGGCATTACGAAATGAATCGCGCGGCTATTTCTTGGGCGGTACACCCGATAAGCTAACATGCACAGCAAAAGCACCATCAAATGGTGAATTCTGGACAGTTCATTTAGCTGCGAGGCCACAGGTAAGCTTATACACGCCGCAAGAATCTTAACGGCATCTTTTTTTTAATTTTTAAAAATGGTTTGGCAGACTTTTCATCGCCAGACAAACAAGATAATCGATTTCTCACCGGGGATTGATTGATTTTTTTGGTCATCGATAACTAACAATTGCTCCACTTTAAATGGAGAATAAACGAAAAGAGAATGTGCAATATAGTCATGATATTGTTTCAGGTGAATTTGCGGTCGATTGGACGCAAGCGATTTGCACATCTGTCCGAGTCACAAGATGAGATTCATGTCGACGCAAACATTCCATGGGGAGAGGACACTTTATTCACATTGGAATTTCGTATGGATGAAGGAGGACGATATGCATTGCATACATGCAACAATCGGTATGTGTTCCATTGTTTGCTGCACCCGAATGAAACAATGGCTAATAATTAAGATACTCTGTGTCTGTCTGTCTGTCTGTCTGTCTGTTTGATTGTTGCTGCGAGAACGTTGTCTACGATTTTCATTTATAATTACACTTCCATTTGAGATTATGATTACGATTTTCATTCGATAATCCACTTTTTCCCAACATGAACATGATGGAAAACAATATGGAACGGAAAAAAATTGTAAGACGAATAATAATAATAAAAAAAAAGAAATTGCAGTTGTTCACGAATTAAGCACAATGTGCTGTAAATCCATGTGAATTAAAACTTAATTAACGGCGTCATCACTAAGACTACAATAGAGAAATAGATAATGTGGCGTACAGTTGCAAGCAGACAGACAACTTTGTTTTCGTGTGAACTGAATTTTGCTTATCTTTTAATTTATCCATGAACTCTGGTTTTACGATATTGATTTTCATTATCCAGATACTTGAATTCGAACGGAAAATTGGAATTGTACTGTACTACCGAGTGTCTGTTCAGTGCCGAATATCATAGCGGCCATCTTGCTCTACGAGATCGGTAAGAAAATACTCGTTTTTTAAGTGTGTAATTTGAAATCGATTTTTTTTTCTCTAATAAAATCTTGATTGTTTAGTCATGGCTCGTATTTGTCGCCAATTGGATCGAAAGCCGTCTTGAAATCGCGTTCGCAAACTGTTACACGTGACGAACTATTCTCGTTAGAAGATTCATTGCCACAGGCTTCATTTGTTGCTGCATTAAACTTGAAGTATGTATCCGTTAAACAGGGTGTTGATGTAACTGCCAATCAAGATGAAATTGGCACCGATGAAACATTTCAATTGGAATACGATTGGACTGCACGGCGTTGGGCATTACGCACCACACAAGTAAGTCACAATTACTACTTTCATTTATGGAGCACGTTTGAACTCTTTTTCAATTCATTTTATGTCTCTAGTGTCGATGACTGTGCATTAAAATTTGATTTAAATTTACTTTCAGGATCGTTATTGGTGTTTGTCGAATGGAGCTGGTATTCAGGCAACTGGAAATCGTCGTTGTGCTGATGCCCTATTCGAGATGGTTTGGCATGGTGACGGTTCGGTATCCTTCCGTGCCAACAATGGAAAATTCTTAGCAACGAAACGTTCCGGCCATTTATTCGCAACATCTGAATCGATTGAAGAAATTGCCAAATTCTATTTCTATTTAATCAATCGTCCAATTTTAGTATTGAAATGTGAACAGGGTTTCGTTGGTTTGCGTACCAACAGCACAACAAAATTGGAATGTAACAAAGCAACGTACGAAACCATTTTAGTTGAACGTTCGGCAAAGGGTGTTGTCTATTTCAAAGGTGATTATTTTTTACTGTACGATGTAATAACTAAATGCCCCCTCTGGTGTAATAATTGCTTGATTACATCGAATTACATCATAACTGAATGAGTGTGAAATGGGGTTATTGAGTTTAATCCGTTTGTGTGTGTTTTTTTCTCGTTACAGGTCAAAATGGTAAATACTGGCGTTTGGAGGGCGATGGCATCTGTGTTGACGGTGATGCTCCTCGTGATGGTTTCTATTTGGAATTGAGAGAACCAACACGCATTTGTATTCGGTGAGTATGCATATTCTACTCAAATCGAGTGCTATTTGATTGTAAAGTTTTATTCATAAAATATTGTGAGGCTTAGACGAAAATGTGAAAATTATTCTCTCTTCCCGTTCGATTCTATCGATAGACAAACAAATGGACGCTATTTGGGTGCAACCAAAAATGGAACATTCAAACTGTTGGACGAAGGCCGAGACTCTGCCACACAATGGGAATACTAAATACATAAGTTTAACCAGATGAAATAAACAATCATTTTCTTTTGATGTGTGTAATTGTATATCATTTGTTTTTCTCCGACAATTCAATACTTTTCTAATTCTTCATATGAATATTATATCAATTATTGCGAATGGAACATATTTACTTAAATGAGCGGAAGAATTGCAAAAAAAAAAACAAGAATAATTCACGTAATATGAAAACATAACACATATATATATATTAGTTGACTTATATTCGTTTCGTTTTATTGACATCTTCTTTCTATCACCTTTTTTTTAAAAAAAACAGTTCTTTTTAATAAAGCATATATATATCTAAATAGATTTAATTGATATTAACATGAATACATTGTGGCTTTTTTCTTTGTTATAAGAGCTTAGTACTCATGAATCCATCATCACTAGTAGTTTAAAGAAAAAATCAATCGAATTGCAAAATATAAATAAAGAATATTGTAGAAGAAAATGAAGTCGAAAAACGCCTGTTTACCAAAATATGAGGCTGCCAAATGACATCGAACAGGCATTATATTAATTCTATCATTCAAACGCACCTTCAGAATATCCATCAGCGTTGATATCAACGGTTAACAAAAAAATTCAGGCAACTAAGAATGTATTGCATAGTTCCTTCATCGATTTTGTGCGGGAGCGAAAGAGATAAATGTGGAAAATGACACTTCTTCAGTTAACTGCTGGCATCAGTGCTGACTGGTATCCTGCCGCACTCACACTCATTTTTGCTAAGAACATTTTTTTGTACTTTTATACAATCAATCGCAGGCCAGATAAACTAGAAAATAGAATTTATAACGAAATATTTCAATAGCACATAACAATTGATGAATACAATGCACCGCCCCGACCGAATTATGGAAATAAATGAATTCATTTTCTCATTGCAATAGCATGAATAAGTCGCCAGGAATTGATATTGCTAAGCGCCAAATTGATTTTGTAGAATGAATAATGTGTGTTTTTCTTCTCTTTTCAAAATGCTCACAATCAATGTGATTCGAGTCGAATGCGACACAGATTGAATTTGAATGGAAACAAGAAATTTAGTGACGAAAACGTAAGAATATTGTAGTCATTTTGCACAATGTTTAAGAGAAAAAACAACAAGAAAAATATGATAAGAGAACACGTGATTTGAAAGTGAACGAAGCATAAGAAAATTCAGTCCATGATTTAAGCATCGATAGATGCCAAAAAAGATGACTATCATTATTATAGCATTATGCGCATTAAAATTTATTTCTTGCTAATTATATCATCCTAATTATCTTCCATATTGATATTGCAAATGAAAACCTAAAACTAAAATCATCAACGATATATTTATATTATCCATTTTTTTCGTTTGTCGAGATTCCAGTTTCTCGGTTATGTGTTGTGATGATGAGCGATTGTTGAAACTTTAATTGAAGTCGTTGTATGAACACTGGAATTTTTGACCGGAAAAAGTGAAGAAAAAACTTTTTTTTTGCAAGAATTTTGTATGTAATTTATTGATATAAAAAAAGCAAAAAAAAACATTAATCCATTGTATAATTAAATAAAATCATCGTAAATTATTCAAAATACAAATGCAAGTTGTTTTATTCATATTTTAAGTGTGTGACAATTTGATTGTTGATTTTAAAGCGGATGTGTTGGAGTGACATTCGTGTGAGTATTGGATTATTTCGCAGTGGATGCTGTTACAGGTGGCTTTATGTTAAGCAATGTGCACAATTTGTTTCTTATTAAGCGTATTTCGGTGATTGGTTCACCCCAATCGGTTTCCGACAGATAATTCATTATCTGAAAATTGGAAGAAATGTGTGTACACTTTTAAAATGAAGTATGCCATCAATGTGTGGAAATTACCTCATCTGAATTCTCTTCTGGGAATCCACAGGCATCCGAGTGTAGTATTAATGCTTCATACAATTTGGTGGCCGTTGTTTTCCTCACATGTACATGTGGTAGACCCAAAAATATCGACAACGTACTCAATACTTTACTACTTAGCTCAGGCACCTGAAACAACGCACAATTTTTTGTGAAAATAATTCAGTTGCACTGTTTTTTTTTAATCTCTTTTCGATTTTCGAATTTTTTTCTAATCAATTTACCTGAATCAATTGACAGAATACATTGATGCTCGCGATTAGTTTGTAGAGTTTTTTGTGTCCTTTAATTTCAAGTTTCGTTAAACGATAAACTTCTGAGCTAAAATTGAGCGATGCATCCAAGACAATGTCATCGATTATACTCGAACCGATGATGATATTCAAAAAGTTGAGTAACGGATACGATATACGCTCGTTTAATGTATTTTTATTGAAAATATCAATAACTACATCGCAAATTCTACGTTGCTGCTCTGGATTGGTGCGTAAGAAATCGATGAGGGCTTCTGATGAATGTTTCACCTGAAAATGGTAAAAATATTGATATCAATGTATTTGGATACTTTCTATTTTTTGTGGTTTTGAATCTTACCAGAGACTCAGTGAGTTGGCCAACGCTAGCAATCAAGCCAATCATCAAACATTCGGTATATTCTGGCAATACCAAAAGTTTACAAAATAATGGAAATGTATGTGCTGCATATAACCACAAAATGTTTGAGAAATCTTCGGGAAATACAGTTTTTATGAAATCATGATGTGTGATGTGCGGAATGGGTGGATCACTGAAAATGTCATTAAAATTTATAATACAAAAGTGTCAACAATTCAAAATGCCATGCGATCTAAAAACTTACTGATAAATAATTTTACAAAATAATTTGCCGGCCAATGCACGAGTGCGATCGATTTTCTCAACAGCTTGCTGAAGTAATCCAATGATAACTGCATGTATTTTCTTCGGATCTTGCAATACAAACTCTGGTATTGTTACTATCAATTTATACAAAGCATTCATAGAAGCTTCACGAACCCAAGCTCCAATATCACCCCGATTATCAATTGTGTATTCATTTAGTGCCGCCAATAAACACCGAAATATCGTATCCTCGGCTGTTTCATCATCTAAATAACGAATATTGTGAATTTCATCGAATCCAATGATGAGAACTGCATTGCATAATGCTTTGACACTTTCTTTTCTCGCCTCCGCCCAATTTGCCACAAAATTACAATCTTGAATGTGGTGGCGTCGCAATAATTGGCGATCCGAATTCGGTAATGAATGACACATCAATGTTAATAGTACACGATTTAGATCCAATTTTAAAATAAAATCAGGCATTGCTCCGATGGCTGCTACGAATCCCATTCGAACGAATTCCCATGATTTTTCGTTTGATGCTTCAATATACTTATTTAATAGTTGAAGATTTTTTTCATTTGACTCCGGTCCAGCATAGTAGGTTTTACATAGTTCAGACAGTGCAGCAACCGCTGCATCTCGGATTGGAACAGAGTTTTTCGTAAGTGATGAATCGATAACCAACTGCCAAGAGTCTGAAAACGATACCAAAAAGATTAAACGAATTGATTTCAAAGAAAAAAATACCCAAAATTAAAAACTTGCCTATGCACTCTGGTGAAACGGCAATCTTTGATGCACTGCAATTTCGTATAAAGTCACAACAGCACTGGTACATCATCTCACCACTCATACCTAAATCACGAAAAAATGTTTTGAATTAATTTAGTTTTCACTGAGCAAGATAAAAGCCTCACCTTTGAATTGGTCTCTCTTTTGAAATGCAAGAACCAGTCCATTCAGCTGTTCAATCAAGAAATCATTTATAAACACCTCGTTGTTTTCGAGCTTCTTTAATTTCGCTATAATTTCTCCAATCGCCAGAACTGTTCCATGTCGTTCGTTTATGTCAATTGATGACGTTTTCTTGAATAATTTCGGCAATGCGTCCGTCACCATGAACTCTGGTTCGCGTGACGTTAATTTGTGCAATGTCTTCGATGTTAATTCTCTCATAGCTGGATCCCAGTGATTTACTTTCCGTTCGATTAAATGACCTGATGAGGAGAATTTGTTTTATTCTACCGATTAAAGTATAAAGAATCATGATACCGTACCTATCAACGGTTTCGAGTATTCTGGATATTGCGCTATGTAATCACTAATTTCCAAATAAGAATTTGTTCGTAGTCCAACCGAAAAGAAATCGGCTTTGGTGATAATGTCGATGCCATGCGGGAATGTACGCAGACGTCCGACGCTTTCTTGAAATGCTGCCGATGCGGCACGACGACAGTTAATTTCGCGATCAAATACCGTTGTTATCAACAAGCCGGTCGCAATTTTACTCACAAACTCCTTCAACACATTCGGTTCATATGCTCTAGCAAATGCCCAACACATATAACAAGCGGCATCGCGAATGTGTTGACCAACTGACATATAACCTTGGAGCTCATCATAGACAAGCGCCTGTAGCAAAAGTGGAACCATCGTTTCTAGGCGATACGGCAGTAACAGACCACGTTTGGCTGAAAATTCAATTCAATTTTAATTATCCCTTCGGCGAAAGAAAGAACTCTATTGGTACATACCCAATTCAGCAATAGCTAAACAAGCTCCGTGCCATGCTTCGTGTGGTTCGAGTGGACTTAATATTTCGATGACTGAACCGACAACTTCATCGCCAAACTCTCTGGGCAACCGACTCGTGATTCTGCCAATTCCTTTGGCCGTGGACCATCGGATGTCACTGCTTGGATTTCGCATTGCCTGTAGCAATTCTTCGATAATTTCCTCGATTTCACATGGCACATCGATGTCATCTTCGTTTTCCACTGAAATGAGCAGAAGAAAATTATTTTTTTAGAAAAGAAACCATTTCAGAGCATTGCGGAGAAAGTGCTTACCTGCAGTGATTTCATCATGTTTAAATTCGATGTCATCTTTTGTTGAACCGGCGGCCAATTTTGCGGTCAACGATCTCGAACCGCGTTGATACCGCCAGGTGGCAAGTCGTGGTTTTAGAAATACTAAACCAAGTCTTTGAATAATTTTCACAAAGTATTTGTTCTTCAGAAAATCATTTCCAGATTTAAAATCGCACGACAGTAGCCATGTCAATAACCTCGGTGCATGTACAAGTAAATCTTCTCGTTTGCCATGTTTTAAAATGAAGGAAATTGCTGCCAATTTACCAAATTGCGTCTCATCTTTCGATTCGCAAATCCAATCAAGGTATTGCGGTAGATATTTATCTTTGACATCGATTCGAATCAAGAATTTGGCTGTTAAAAATGCGGCCACTTTTGAACATGTGTCATTATTGTTCGTATTCAATTTGCACAATTGGAAAATACGTTCGATTTTACTGATTGGATTATTTCCGGCACCATCGCTGATAAATCCATCGAAACGGGACAACTCAAAGGGATTCAGCACCAAAATTGAAAACCATATCAATAGCATGTAACGTGTCTCCCATGTATTTGTTTCGCTGACATTCTGCTGCTCAAGCGCGTTCAAAACGAAATCCAGGTCGAACGTTTCGTGTGGCAAAAATTTCAGTATAATTTTGTAAGTTCGCACTTTTGCAAATTGATACAAATACTTGAATGAAGCATGGAATAAGGTTGGCGGTACATCAGTTTGCCGAATATAATTTAACAATTTTTCAATTAGCGCCGGTAAGTGTGGATTCAATAAATGTGGTTGTTCTTGGTATCGACTCAAAATATTGCTGAATGTCTCATATGATTTCTCAAAATTGCTATTGTGATCGGTCTTCAAATCGGCAATCATTTGTTCAACTTGAACCAATTCGACAAAATGGTCCAGCATTTGCGTTGGTGAGTCATTATCGTCAACTTCCATTTTGCACGAATTAAAATGAATCCAGTGTTTCTTTTTCACACAATACAACTAAACCGGTCGGTCGAAGAATGGAATTTTCGAATTAAAACTGTCTTTTTCCGCGGAATTTCAATCATATGTTTTTCACTCGGTTTTATTTCAATGCGTCGCGCAATGCACTGGTTTTGTTTGGAAAACTGTCAAATCGAACTGTCATTGTACGCGCGCAGGGTTCAACATCGTCATTTGATGTAAACAAAAGAATGTACGGAGTTAAAATATGTGATTTTTTTGTATTTAAGGAACGGGAAAAAACGACGGAAAAAGACAAGAATTTTTCAAAATGAATAGCCTTAGAAAAACCATGAACGTGATTGTTTGAAATTTTTTATACAATAATCAACGTGAATGATAAGGTTTGAAAGCTAAATATGATTGTTGTTGGGAAAAACATTTCAGTGCTTCCGATAGGGATAAAATGTGTCGTTAAAACTACATTTCTTGTCAATTGCTTAGTCTATCTCCGGCTGTTTTCGATAGTTGAAATTCTCACACTTTCTTTTCGTGTAATTTTATTTTAATTGATTTTTATTATTTATAATGGCCACCGCAGGAAAGGTACGTTAATCATTTATTCATCATTTTTCGATTTTATATGATTCAATTTCCGTGATAATTAGAATTTCTTTGATTTGTCAAAGAAATAAATTCCAATTGGATTTCAAACTATAAAATTTTCCATTATGAATAAAAGACATCATTCTTATCATACATGGTCCTATCTTATCGAGGAATCTATTTTTCCTACCCAAAAGGTTATTGAATGTAAAGCGGCCGTTGCCTGGGCAGCTAAGGAGCCATTGTCGATTGAAACAATCCAGGTTGCACCACCAATGGCTGGTGAAGTTCGTGTCAAAATTCTTGCAACCGGTGTTTGTCACACGGACGCATACACATTGGGCGGTTTTGATTCAGAAGGTGTTTTTCCTGTTGTATTAGGTCACGAAGGTGAAGTGAACATAATGATAACTGATTTTTCTATCTAATTTCATAAGCACTAGTAACAAACAACATACGTCATACGTATATGTTTTTGTTTATTTTCGTTTGATTATTTAGGCGGTGGAATTGTTGAAAGTGTTGGCGATGGTGTCACTGATTTTTCACCAGGCGATCATGTTATTCCATTATACGTTCCACAATGCAAAACTTGCAAATTCTGTTTGAGCCCAAAGACCAATTTGTGCCAACGTATTCGTGAAACTCAAGGTCAAGGAGTGATGCCAGGTATTGATGACAAAAGATAAGTTCTTCCCTCTTCTCAAGAGAGAGATTTTTTTTCACTCCAATTTAATTTTGTTTCGTTTGTCAGACGGTACATCTCGTTTCACTTGCAAAGGAAAGAGTTTGTTTCATTTTATGGGAACATCAACATTCTCTGAATACACCGTTGTTGCAGCAATTTCGCTCACCAAAGTCAATGAATCAGCACCATTGGATAAAGTTTGTCTTTTGGGTTGTGGAATTTCAACTGGCTATGGTGCCGCATTGAATACGGCCAAGGTATATTATCAACATTCTTATCATACACTCGCTTGCAACATATCTTATCTAACATTCGACGATTACAATCGAGTAGCTTTACAAAGAAATTGTCGAAATTTTTTAAAATGAATATTGAAAATCGTTTTTTTTTTTTTGATAATACATGATTTAGGTTGAAGCAGGTAGTACTTGTGCTGTGTTTGGTTTGGGTGCCGTTGGATTGGCCGTTGTATTGGGATGTAAAAAAGCCGGAGCCAGTCGTATTATTGGCATCGACATCAATCCAGATAAGTTCGAAATGGCCAAACCATTTGGGTGCACTGAATTCTTGAATCCGAAAGATTTCGATAAGTCAATTCAACAAGTTCTAGTTGATAAGACCGATGGTGGTGTTGATTATTCCTTCGAGTGTATCGGAAACGTTGCCACAATGCGTGCTGCTCTTGTAAGTGCTTTTTTCACTTTGTTACTTTGTTTATTCTCACATTGTGATAGAACTTTGTTGATAATCTTTGATCTTTTTTATCAGGAAGCAACTCACAAAGGCTGGGGGGTTTCGGTTATAGTCGGTGTTGCACCAGCTGGCGCTGAAATTAGGTAAAGTCACGACTTTGTTCACATTTTCATACTTACTGAACCATTCTCATTTTCACGGTCAGCACGCGACCATTCCAACTAGTGACTGGTCGCGTTTGGAAAGGTACTGCATTCGGTGGATGGAAGAGCTGTGAAAGTGTGCCAAAATTGGTCGATGCTTACCTCAAGAAGGACCTATTGATCGACGAATTCATCACGCACAACTATCAGTTGAACGAAATCAACGAAGCATTCCATGTCATGCATGAAGGGAAGAGCATTCGCAGCATCGTTCACTTCTAAATGAACATTTATTCGTTGTCGGTTCAAATGTTTTGAAGCCCTAAGCTGCTCGCATTTAAATACAAAATATATTTTTTCGAAGTGATTTTTCTACAAGAAACACAGAATAAAGAAACATACGCACTTTATTTTTAAACTCAATTCATTGGACTTTATTATTATTTCAAACTAAATTAATGAGGTATTTCTCAGTGGCGTTGCGTGTGAGTGTGTACTTTACTATCAATTAAAACAATTTTAGTGCCTTTTAAATAATAATGAGTAACATTATATGACCAAATGAAGCTTAGCACAGAGATTCAGTTACAACATCGCACATGAAATGTGTTTGTTCTTAAATTAACGCGACTAAATTCTTTACAAAAAAAAAAAATATCGAATATCACACATGTTCGAAAACTAAAATCGATTCAGTTTACTAAAACTACTATTACTACTACATTTCCAATGTCTTTCTTCTTCCTTCCTCTTTCTATTCTTATCTAACTGGTGGTTGACGACCGCATAAAATCGATTATGCTCTTATTATTCATGAAAATGGATTCAATGTGCTTGAAACTGCCGAGTGTGTTGGCCTTTGTTCCCAAACACATGGTATACTGCGATTCGCTGAGCGCTTTATCACAATAAATATCATGATAAATATGCACCAACGTTGGATCGGGTGAACGGAATATACTTAATGATAATGGCACAATGCTTGAATTTGAATTTGGTCCGTTCAAAAATGATGTGATTGGTGCTGGTTGCAATTTAACAAGTTTTTCCAAAAATTTGACATCTTCCAAGCCCCAACCGGTGATGTCATCATTGAATCCATTTATATCGGGATGTAAAATGTCTGCTTTAAAAATGGCACAAATACCATATCCAAATTCTCGAAAATATCCACGATTATCGTTCAAATTGAGCGATTCATTTTCCTCAAACTCGGATGAACTATCATAATTAGCGTCGGACCAAACCGACGGATTATATTCGCTGAAAACAATCGGCATATAAACTTGTTTGTTTAATTTTGTATTTAGACGAATGCGTTCGATGGACATTCGTTTGAATGTGATGTCGACATCTATAAAAAATATAATGTCGTTCGAATGAATGTGTTCGGAATGTATGGCTCGATTCAAAGCAATTCCACGAGAAAAATTCCCTTTAATTGTGACGTGATTTATCACGGATGTCGTGTATTTCGTTTTAAGTTGATCAATTTCATCATAAAATGGTCTCACATCCGAATGCATTTCGTTGAATAGTACAACGAGCAATTCAGTTTGTGTATCGGGATGTTGCAAACAAACACGGTCATAATTTCGTAGAAATCGTTGGAACGTTTGTAAACGACCGGCCAATGGTAATACAAATACAATCGTTGGCTTGATTTGATCAATTCGATTCCTTCGTGACGTTTTCGTTTGATTATTTTGCACTGTATTGTTCAGCGACATAGCAATTGTATCCGATATTCGATTAACACTTGATTGCCAGATGTTTTTCATTTTGAATGACAGCATTGACGTCAGATTACCAAATTCTGTAAGGAAAAGTCCCGAAAATTAAAATAAAATTCTTGATTAAAAATAAAATAGAATTGCTGATGTACTTACTCGTCGTTTCCATTTGTTCGGTAAAGATGTTGTCTGGTTTTAATTCTCTGACGAAGCAATCAGTGAAGGCTCTTTGTAGGTATAAATGACGACGAACCGGCACCGTCATCTTTTTGCCGCGATATTTTCTGTAAATCAATAGTAAATCCAACACCAAATCCTGTCCATACAACGAATTCAATCGATTATATCCATACAATAGTTCTTTGAAATCGATTACACGCCCTCTTTGCCGTGAAAAATTATTTATATAGTCCATAACTTCGACAATTACATCGTCTAATCCTTCTCTCAATGACGAATCAAGTTTTTTCTTCGGATTTGTTTGTTCGGCCGAATATAAGCTTCGAGCTATGAAATTCCATGTCAATAACTCTTCTCTGGTGCTTGATTTTGCCTTATTTAAATGTGGTTTTGTACTCAACACATCATGATCGCCGAGAAAATTTACATCATCCGGTTCATTCGATGGGAATATGGATAAATCAGAACCTTCAAATTTCATCGAAAAATCGATTTCATTATCTTCCGATTTGGATAGTAAAATCGTTTTCATCATTGCTATGTCGCGGTGCAGAGATAGTGTCTCTTGACGCAATTGCTGTGCACGAAGACCTTGGAGATAACTATGCAAACGATACATGAGAGGTGGCCGTTTGAGAGGATGAAGTGTGATTGCATTATGGATTTCTTTCGTTTTTAAATTGCCAGTGAATGCATTTGCACCACTTGAATTGTGACGAAGAATTGATTGCATCTGGAAAAAAAAGAGAAGACAAATTGTAAATGCAAAATAAAATCACCGTCGAAAAATACAGCATTAGTCAGCAGTTAACTGAAAATTCACGCATTTGGGTGTGTGTTGCATGTGGGAAATGATTAAAGATTGAATTTGAGATTAAACTTGTGAAAGAGAGGAGGTAACACATTCAAACTTCACTCTATCTCAATTTCATCATCGTTGCGCATGTGCCATGGCACATGAATTTTCCATCAATGACTAAAATCACACAAAGCAAACAAACCTCATAATTCCAAGTGCACGGTATACCGGCAAATTTTTGCACACACCGCCCAACTTCAACATCTTCGTGTGTGCTGTACAAGTTTTTAAGGCAAGTCGGAATGTGTGGGGCCACTCGTCTCAATGTTTCGCGACTCATTATTACACCAGGTCCGCCCATACAGAAATTCTCGTCAAATTCCAGCGACAATAAGCCGAACTCCTCCGAATTACCGCGACCAGCTTGTCCTACGCAAGTTGCAGATAAATTAATGAAATCGAAATGCAAAAGACATAAATGCCCATTCTTACCAATAAACTGTGGTTTTGTGCTGTCAATGGATCGTAAAAATTTCTCCAGTTTTTCGGTATTGATATAAACATCATCGTCGGCTCTGGCAAACCATTCAAATCTATCAATATAATGTTCGTACATAAAATACAACATTCGAAATGATTTCTTCTGCGGTGGATAGCGATCGTCCACTCCTTTTAGGGCAATAACCGGCAGTCGTTCTGAATAAGATCCTTCTGAGCTAAAAAATGCCAAACGGCCTGGCACCTCTTTTCCCCATGTATCATACACCGCGGTGGCACGATCGCTTAAAAATTCTTTAGCAGTCATTACACCAACAAATACTAAATTACTTTGTGACGATGTCACCGTGTCGCTTTGCTGCAAATTTATTACTTCTAAGGGACCTATAAGAAAAATGTATGTTACACTCGGTTTACGCAAATGTATTTTAAGTTTGTAATTTATGAAAAGTAAATTGTTACCCGTATTTGGTCGTAGACTACATTTTTTCACTAATTCTAAGGCTCGGTAGTTCTTAAACAGAATGCCGAAACACAGCCCAATAATAATGCCAAAGAACATGAATACGGTGCTTTTTCTTGATGTCATTTTATGGATGTGATGATAATCACTGAAGCTAAACCACTGCATCATCTTGAGAAACTGAATGAACGCAATCGATGGCAAATTAATAGTGAATTCAACTCAAATATCTGTAAATTGAAATGTGCATCTGGTTAATTAATATGTTCGATTTTAAATTATTGTTTTTCTTTAAATTAACGATTGTCAATAGAAATGCAAAAACGAATAACACAATCTTAAAATTTAAAGTAAAAGATTAATTGCAATGCAAGAGGAACCTAAATAGAAAATGCAAATCGAATGACCAATTGGTTAAATGTGCACTTCATTTAAATGAATTCCATACAAATGAACAAAACCAATTCAGCTAAAGAAATGTTTTGAATCACCGCATGCGACATGACACCATATTAACGAGCGCATCCGTAATTTGGAATGTCAGCAGAACGATGTCGAAATGAATTCATTCAAGAAAATTGCAGGTTAACTACAAAATACAAGACATTTCGTTCAAGTTTATGATAACCATTTGTGAAACCATTATTTAATATCGCGACTGATACTGCGGAAATGCTTGTTTCATGATAAACACTTATCGCCCGAAAGAATGTACAAATGATACTCGTCTAAATGTTTTTTCGTTCAAATTTTCGATTACATGAGTGAAATGAACTATTTTTCGGTTTGTCGCAATCACAAACATTTATTTTTAGACTTCCAAAAATGAGTTGCGTCTTTTCAGTTCCTCACATCAAATATCCTTCTTTATCCGGAAGTACACTGTATGATTTTACAACTATATCGAAACCAGTGTCATCTATTTGGAAACGATTTTCCGAATGACGATCAGACAAAATTAAAATCGTCCATGAAATTGTCGGCTCGATTTGTAGCCTTAACATAACCAGAATATTTTCAACCAATCAGATAACAACCATAAATCTTATTTCATTAACATTTACGATGTTATTTGTACGCAATACGAAAGCAGAAATAGTTTTGTGAGTGTAGTCAGCCGTTGATTTAATCAACGAAGAACATTCAATTTAATTACGGCAGAAAAAAATGAATTATGAACAATGATTTTGTATGGATGAATTAAAATGCCTGCATTTGTATATTATACACAATCGAATAAATCTATTTTCGCGCTTAAATTGGTGTCTTTATTGCAATGAATTCTGCAAACAGGGGCACTTGGGTCGCACACTTCAAACATGCCACAATGCGTGTTTTTCTATACAGATAATTTTATTGCAATTGCAATACAAACATACAAATTCATTTGAAATTTGCGGTTAGCACCGTTAATTATTTCGCGAAATACTCAAGATTATATTAGAAATTAAACTTAATAACACGGAGCACATTAAAATTCTGTTTGCAAATAAAATGCATCATAAAGCAAAGAGCAAAAACACAGACTCAATTTCAAAAGACGCAAAATGGAATGAAAAACTGAGCAAATGCTTCTTATTGTGTTCGTATAAAAGTGTATATCATTCTTAATAAGCGCGCATCGAAAGTAATTGGGTAAATTGGCCATTTTTGGTGTACAAACAAAGTATGAGACACCGTTTAAGATAAGCACCTTCAGTTGATGATAATCGTCATGTTGATTTCAAAATAATAAAAGAACGACGCTCTTGAATGGCTAGTTGAGTGAATGTGTTTAAATCGCTTATCATTCCGTGTCGAAAATCGGTTCGGTACAATTGAATGAATGAACGGAAAACACGATATAAACATTTCACATGTGATTTATTGATGAGACAAACGGAAAGATTCGTTATGAATGAATTGCTTATGGTTAGAAATGACAAAATAGATTGTCTCCGGCAATGTAGGAGGTGAAGGTAAGCTGAATTTAATTTTAATGCGAACGCTCTTTTTAGATGCTCGATACTCTCTGTGTAATGTGCTAAAAATAGTGTATTTGTTCAATTTCGAAGCACGTTCGAATCGAAACCTCTGACATTTCGACGAATCGCATTTGTCGCGTGCCCAAATGAGTCTACAGCTAAAAACCACATTTGCAACGATTCAACCGAATTCTATACTATTGTGGTACTAATTGACGCTTAATGCCATAATGAATTTGTTGAAAATTACTCTAATGCTTATCAGCATAATGTCGCATCATTAGTGTATCGTATGTGTGTTTTGATGCCGAACAAAAATTCATTGAGCTGCTTTTCAGGCGTTGCACTTGTATGCCCGTCACATCGTATTTACCATACTATTTCGATTCAAGGTCAATTCACAACTGTGCGCATAAGACAGTTTAAAGTTTGCATCTAATTTACTGTGTTATTGTTATGGGAAATCTAACACTTTTTTATCTCATTCTTACTCATTCAACATTTGCGTTTGACGACGCAGAAAGAAATGAGTAAAAAAAACTTCATTTGTATCTTTCATTGTAAATATCACAATAATTACGCGAATTGAGAATTCGTGAGACTTGATTAAAGCATTTTTTTTTGTTCTTTTTTTTCATCTTTGGCTGCATCGTTAAGTCAACGTATACTATGCCCAGGCCTGTAAACGCAGACAAAGACGTGTGAGTGCGATTATTTATCTAAAAAACAAGTAATCCAAACATTGAACCTTGTATGCCAAGTAATATTTTACGTGTGCGTCACGTACGTGTGTGCAAACATTTTCGGCATCACAGCATTTGTTCGGTTATAACAGCACACTACAATCATTGTCAAAATGCTTATTGTAAAAGTCATTACCGTGGGGAATGAAACACTAGAAAATATCGTGATCAAATGATATCATTGCTGATAACATGTAATTCAGTTTTATTTGAACACGCAACAACCAAATAATTCGCAATTAATTTCTTTGCGGTGGATTTTCCCCAAGTGTTAATGAAATAATTATAACTTTAAGTGAGCGATTTCCGATTTGTCATCGCTTCATTGACCTTTGACCATTTGAGAACGTGCCGATTTTGAAAAATGGTCTCATTCGAAATTACAATAAAAACGTAACTTATTCCTTGTTTTTCTTCGCATCTTTAGCCACATATGCGTTACGAGTAACATAGCATGAGCACAAGAAGAAAATTTAAATTTCTTGTTTGTAAAAACAAAATGCATTTTCACATACAAATTGTATGTGTGTGTGCATGTCTTTTTGTTGGATGGAAAAGAAGACGAATGGAGAAAGAATGCACAATGGATAATGCACATATGTTTTTTCGGAACATATTGATCGTAAAATATCACTAAAAATGCCTGAGCCACTTAAAATATTTTAACATAAATTTTCTGGTATTTCAATTCTGTTACATTCGAGCTAACAATATATACAGTGCGTAGCAGAAGTTTGACATTTCAAAAAACATTCGAATTTAATATGAAAAAACCAGTCGATTTGGATAAATCAACATGATTAAGAACATTTTAAATTCTTGGTCTTCAATGATTAGGGATATTTCTTCGGAATTAACATTTTATTGACGAACCGCAAACCAAAGAGCCCACATAAAAGATGTGTTCATCAATCAGTTCGTGAAATTCTTGTGAATTCAACTTCTGGTGCACCCTGTATGGCATGCATAAGCATTAACCACGGGCACATCTGCACGATTCACACAAAATTATTTCATTTCGTATTTTACAGTTCATTTTTCAGAAAGAGTTCCATTTCTATTCCATTGGCCGTTCGTTGTTTACTTAGCATGTTGATCTTATGAATTTGCGTTAATTAAATTAGATAGTTTGTTTTCATTGTCGTAATATCAAAGGCATGGTTTGCGGTGAAACAGATTATGCACAAGAGAGATGTAAATGAACTGAAACCTCTGTGTGCATAGCAAAAACGAAGAGAAATATTAATGATCTATAAGTCGATGATCTACTGTGAAGCGGGTTAAAAAAAAAACACTGTGCAAACACTTTTTTTTTACAACTTGTTGCTGGTGGTTTTGATTCTATTTGATGTGCTGCACAGTCGGATTTAAGCCGTGATGAGGCACTTATCAAACGACGTTCAGTTTGTTAAAAATATTTGTCGTTAAGCATGCAACAAAAAGCATAAGCAACATTTTAACGAAAACATAGTTTAATGTCTCGCCATGCACATTTCTTTCCATTCCCTTCATTTAAAAAATGAAACGACTAACTGCACATTCTTTTTCTTAGAAATTCTTGATTTAACGGAAAAGATAATAAAAAGACATTTTTGTTTACTTTGGATTGGTCCCTTTCAAATGTGGCCGTCGACGACTATAGAATTTATAATCAAGTGAATTAGTTGAAAATACAGTCAAACATTTGATCAATTCAATATGCGACTCTCGAGCAAAGCGACAGTCACTTGAGACAAAGTTGATATACGAGAGATGATGAAAAATTTGGGAATCGTTGATGATGAAAAAGGGCAAATTGAAATAAACTCACCATTCCACTTGATAGAGAGATGCTTTTTTTTAATTTACAGTCGACTGCTATTGTTCCTTTGATGATGATGATGATGAATATCCATAAAAAATAAATTTCATTTAGAATTTAAGCAATCACCATTGTCACACAAAAAAAGAGTATCGTTTTCATTTTCGTTTCGTCTTGACCGCTATAAATCACTAGTCAAAAATGTACGCACGTTTGCCTTGTAGTTATTTGAAACCTATTTTTAAAATGAATATTGAAAACTCAAAACTAAGCGCCGTTCTTTTTGCCGAATTTCGTATTTTTCTCTTCTTTTTCAAGTCATCAATGCGTAACAATTCATTATTTAAAATACGATTATTCGTAATGACTTGTAGTTTGTGTGCGGTCACAATGATAATGTTGTAATTTTATGTTTTCGCTATTTACAAAAGAGACGACCATTTGGTTGCGATGGATGAATTTTGCATGAATTCGTTATGGCAATTTAAAATGTCTTAACAAATACGCTCACGTAATAATAAAGAAAAGAGCACCGGTGTGGCGTCTCTTCAAACGGCGACCACAATCAATTTTTCACAAAGAAAGAGAGATGGTGCCGGAGCATCAACGAGATCAATGCTCGCGAATCGACGGTTGTTTGATAAATATCCTCATCTAAACCAGATCACCAATACGCGAACACAATTTATTGTCTATTTATCTCGTTCTATCGATTCGCTTGGATCGCAAACGATGCACTAATAACTTGATGCCGTCTAAACTATCAAGACACAAACCGAATGAGAAAATTATATTCGATATTTTCAGAGTTGATCGAATGAAGAATCATTTTGCCTTCATCACACTATTTGCTGGACAAACGATTACAATAAAACAGAGAAAGAACGTAGTGTAGGCAGTGCGCACACAGATTACACGTCCGAACCAAACAAAAATCACAACCAAACTGACGGACATACCGAAATAATAGTCACTACACGATTTGTTATGTAGAATGATGAAGAAAAGAAGGGAAAAAAATGAACGAAAAGCAAGCAAAGTCAAAGAAATGAACTTCTTTTACAAAATGAAACGAATACCACTTAACAAATGCACGACACACACGCATATATCAGCGTTTGTGCCGATACAACTCATAACTTGTGTATTTCATATGTGTATATATATGCGAAGAAGATAGAATCCACCGCACTGCGCACGCTACTATAGAAACGATAATTCAGTCAGTAAACCAGACTTTAACCATTTAGCGTTTGTGTCGTTTTTATCTTTCGGCGTGTTGCGTACGTTTTCTTTCGGATACATTTGTATGTGCGCACTGTAAGATTGTTACGCATATTTCTCTCTGCCAGGTTCTTAAATGACAAATACATTTAAAAGAAAACCTTTCGCGCGGTCGTCGCGTCTATTTTTTTTTTCTTCATTCACATCAGCTCCGAGCCCAGTGACGATTCGGCACAATTCACACTGATCAATCATTACCTCACGATGTGTAAAACGTGCGATAATCCTTTGTTGAGCATTCAGAAACATGAGCCAACCTCTTTTTTCAGAATAGCTCATCTGAGCTCATCGATGTTAATTTATTCGAAATGAGGAGAAACAAATTTAGCAAAACAAAATCAACGGTCCAACCTTTATTCATAAGTTTCTCAACTTTTTTTTTGCGTTAACGATACATTTTTGGCTTACTTATATCCATTAATCAACCATAGATTTAAATTGAGTTGTGGATTTTCGTCTTTTAATTCAATAAAATTCTTTGATTAGATAAATGAGATCTAATCTCGGCCAACAAAGGCATTTCTATCGTAACATTCCGAACAACCATGCGGAATAGCGTACATCACGCGTCTCATAGTTTGTTCGTTTTCTTTTGCACACTTAAAATTGTCGAAACTATTTTTGTCGCATGTCACTTTGCTCTATTGAAACAGTTGAGGCACGAATATATATATATTCATTCGTACGGCATACGGGAGTTTGTGTGTGGCAAAAAAACACAATCGCATGATTGCAAAATGTATGCAGAAGAAAACAGGTTTTACTGGTGGTCAATCAACCGCCAAATCCACGATTCTAGTATTCATGGTCATACTTTTCTCGAACAAGTACGAATGAAATAGCGGTTTCTTTGGTTGACGAAAGATAACGAGGATATATCGGTCACCATAAATTCACCAATAACAAGAACCAATCATTTATTGGGTGATCAAAGTCGACACATTTTACTTTTATCGATGATTATCAATGTTCAATGTTCACTCCGAAAAATTCACAGACAACCAAATCAAATGGACAAAGCGTAAAAAATGTTATCGTCCATACATAATACGTTGAAATGATATCGATAGCAGATTGGAAACTCAGGTCTACATGATACTAACTCGATAATGAAAACGCCTGAAAGTATGTAATAAACAAAGACATGCATAACTTTGGAGGATTCAAAAAATAAGAAATAACACGAAATGATGAATATAGAGTACTAAAATGGGCTACTTACATAAAACAATTCACAATAGTCATAAATTATTTTTATATAAAATAATAAATCGGGCACATTGTTGTTGTACAATTTTCCTCAATTTCCCTTGGACTTCGTTAATTTGAACTATTTGATTTTCGTCAATTTCCTTCGAATTTTGGAAAATAATCCAAATTTTCGAATTCCAATATTTGTATCCTGTGAAGTGTCATTTGAGAAAGAGGAGTTATGAAATTCAAAACCTGACTCTTGACAGACTGTTCTGAAAAACAAGAAAATGAGAGATTTGTTCAAACCTTCACGTTCTAATAGTTTTGTGAAAAAAATTACATGTGAAAATTTTTACTTCACACAGCCATAGCTCCCATACGTGGGAACACTTTTGTATGAAAAGTGTGTCAAAAATTATTTGCAATTATGACCAAGCAACATTTTCCAGAGAACGTCTTTATTCATAAATATTAATTAAAATAATAAAAAGGAATTTAACGTATTTCAATGAGATATGAGAGTATTAGCGAGAGTGTGTTTGATGTTTGGCATTGAAACAGTTTCGCATCCATCTGTTATCAAATATTATATAGCAAAGGATTACAATAAATTGCCAAGCAACTAGTGAACTATCAATTAAACCATATGTTTGACGTCGCCTTTGTAGACATTTGTGAAATGGAATTTGATAAACAAACTGAAATGATTCTTTGAATCATTCTGCGCACATGAAACATATCCAGGAAAATGCATTTGCGTCATTATAAGAAATTCCACTAATCATTTATTTTAAAGAATTTATTAAATGAGGCAAACACACGCGCAAGATTCAGAGATTATTTTTTGTATAAAAAGGGTGCAGATATCAACTAAGCCATCATTCACTTTTGTAGTACAGTTGTATACACATTTACTAGGTACTATCAATCAAAAAGTGAAAAATGAAGCCAGTTACTCCTTTAGTAGTCTTCTCACTTTTGCTGTGCATTCAGGTATGAATTATTTTTTTAAGTTAATTATTAGTAAGTTATTACTCCAAACTTTTTATTAAGTTAACTAAATAAGTCTAAAATAATTCTGAAAATTTGGGGTCGCTTCGATTTTTTTTTGCACATTTAATTTGAATGATTAAGTCTCGATACTTTTTGCATTGCGTCCCGTGCGTTTTTAAATTACTCAATAGAAAATGTCAAACGTTTTAAGTCAACATTACTTAACCAATATTCCCATTTATCTTCCATGCAGTTGATCAATGGACAGTCATTCCACACATTAGTGGAGAAACTTGAAGAAAACGCGAAAGCAACAAAACAAAAAATAAAACAGGATTTGTCTTTCATTTTAAATATTTCACCCAATTATTTTAACATTTGGACGTCATTCACTGAAGCTGTGCCGACATTCTTAGCGTTGGACGTAATGGAAAACATGTTAGTAAAAGTGCCAGAGGATATGCTTAGTGGGGAATATTACGCGAAAGACGTTTTGCGATATCAAATTTCTGGAGTTATAGTTCAGCAATCACAAGAAATAGCAACTTTATATAATGAGATTTGTACAGCATTTGGGTATGACTTAACACAGGCTAAAAAATCGAAATTCGCTGAATATTATTGGGCATGGTATCAGAATATACCGAACAAGAACGATGTGAAACGGATCAAAAATGGAATTGATGCAATGTCATCCGATCACGACACAGTACTTGCACAATTCAATGGAAGAATGGAAAAAATCGATTATTTAAGAAATCTTATAAGCACATGCAGTAGTCTAGTCAACAGTAATTTAAGGAAACTCATTACGTCGAAGAAACGTGATTCGATGATAAAATATAGTCAAGAAATTGTAGATGCTACACTCAAAGCATCATCCGTTCAGCCTAAGTTGATCAAAAGGCTTACAGAAGTGAAAAAGATTTTAATGAATTATAACAAAAGACGCACCCGGTGGGCTGAATATATTATCGATATGCGTGAGAGTCCGCTACCAGCTCGCGGGGAACAATCAGACCCAACTGATGAGTTAGATTTTGGAAATCTCAATTTGGAAGACGGAAACAGCAGTTCAAGAAGATAAGACATTGTACTCAAATGTAATTAATGGCAGGGAAATAATTGCGGAGTATTGAAGTAATTTTGAGTATACCTTTTGTTTATAACTTACCTTATGTACTACTTAAACATCGATTCATTTATAAAATCCAAGATGAATTGTGTAAAATTTTCACTGTAAATAATGTACATTGCACTTTGCAAAATAAATATTTAAAAATGTTCGATATTGTTATGTCTTATGAACCATGTGTGCAAAACAAGTGATTCACATTCAGTTAAATTTGTAAACGACTTTACTCGACTTAAGGAATGTTGTTATCACGCAAACAATGCGTGTTTTTCACAGAGCTAATTAAGAGAAACAAAAGCACCAATCAATAAGTACAGAAACACTTGAAAAACATGGAAATTTGAAAGGTGAAATAGATGTGACATTTTGTTTGCACAGGTGAATTTACGTTCGGAAGCCAGAAGTATAAGTATAATAAATTTAAGCTATAGGCTTTCGTTCGTTAAAAAAATTCATTATATGCAGAGGTTAACTTTTTAATTATTTCGGAGAAAAATTTACAAAACAAAAAATTGCAAATATATTCCCAATTGACACTTTTCCATTAGCATTAAATATTCTTTTAGTGAAATTGTCGTAAAAGCATAAAGTAAGACCACGTGGTATTATCAATCTAAAAGAGAGAAAACAAAGAGATAATATCACAATAAACAAAGAGATAATATCACAAAAATATACTGTGAAAATGTTGTGAATGAAATGTGTATACTTTTTTGAATAGTTCGCAGTTGCACTGAAATCCCGCGACTCCTTCGATATGAACATCCATTTGAGCAAACGCAAGAAAGTTGAGCATATCCTTTTGCATATCCAACCGAAGGTTATACCAAGCCAACTGATAAACTGTTTCCTCCACTTGTACAAATCGATTCGTTATGTAACTTCCCATATAGCAAACAAGATATAGCCAAGATATAGCCGTACATGTCGGAGGCAGGACTTTCATGGCATTTATAAAATTCATATTTGCAATAGACTTTAGTAGCAGTTATAGTATTTTGGGAGTAAAAAGCATTAAAAAATGAATCGTTGCGGCGAAAGAGTAGCTCTTATTTTTCTCCAAATAATACTGCAACAT